TAAACTTAATATAGTCTAACTTTAAGTACATTACATCTCTTCACATATAGTATATGAGCAGTATACTTTCTTTTTTTCTCAAAATCAATTTCCTTCCTTTTTTGAATTTAATTTTTAGTATTCATTTTGAATAAATGTTTTATTTACAGTTGACATATAATATTATATTAGTTTCAACTAGGTAAACAACATAGTGATTAGACATTTATATATATTATGAAGTGATCACCCTAATAAGTTTAGCACCTAGCTGACACCATACATAGTTATCAATATTACAATATTATTGACTATATTCCCTGTACTGTACTTTTGGAGAGTAAACTTTCATTTCTTTTGGCTTTTATGTGGTTGTGTCATATAATATATATATTACTAGAGGCTCTGTGCACAAAATTCATGCGGGGGAGGAGGGGGCGTCCTTCAGCCCAACCTGAAACCTCTCTAATCTGGGATACCTCGCACAATCCGGAACTGCTGGCTCCTAACCTGCCTGCCTGCCTGATTGCCCCTAACCATTTCTGCCTGCCAGCCTGATCACCCCATAACTGCTCCCCTGCCGGCCTGATTAACACCTAACTGTTTCCCTGCCAGCCTGATCACCCCAAACTGCCCTCCCCTGCTGGCCTGGTCACCTCCAACTGCCCTCCCCTGCCGGCCTGATCTCACCTCCAACTGCCCTCCCCTGCCGGCCTGATCTCACCACCAATTGCCCTCCCCTGCCGGCCTGATCTCACCCCCAATTGCCCTCCCCTGCCGGCCTGATCTCACCCCCAATTGCCCTCCCCTGTCAGCCTGATCTCACCCCCCAATTGCCCTCCTTGCCAGCCAATTTGGTTCTAATTTGTCAATTTCTATGCCAGTCAGCATCAAAAGCTCCTAGGCAGCCATTGGCTTCTCACACCTTACCCAGATTTGGTTTTGATTGGTCAGTTTCTATGCCAGTCAGTGTCTCTGGGGCTGTCAACTGGGCCTAATCAGAAAGGTGGGGCTGATCAGCAATGCCAGTGGAGGCCTGGAGGAAAATGGAGGCACAGCTGCTGGCCAGGCCCGGAGAGAAAGAGAGAGGCAAATGCTGATTAACAGCTGTCATAGGGGATACAGATCAGACCCTGCTTCTCTCTTTAAGCCTCTCTCACCACAGCAACCCAGCGCTGACTGCAGGACTGACGTCTGGTTGGTCAAGCCTCCAGTCATTGTGGATGTGAGGGAACGAGGGTTTTAATATATTAGGATAGCACATGTTGGTCTAAAACATACAATGCAATATGTTGTTTTTGAAGATATTTTTGAAGAGTATAGAATTCTATATTGGCAATGTTTTTCTTACATGTCCTTTATATATACTGTTCTAAGGTATTCTGGCTGACCTTAGTTTCCAACAAGAAATCTCACCTCATTCTTATTTTTTCCCCTATTCACACAGTGTATCTTTTTTTCTCTATTAGCCTTTCAGATATTTTCTGCATTATTAGTTTTAAGCAGTTTTATAATGGCCTTTAGTGTAGTTTCCTTTATGTATCTTGTGCCTTATGGTTGATTAAAATTCTTAGATCCCTGATCAAAACTTTTCAGCCATTATTTTTTTAAATATTTTTTCAATTCTTTTTCCTCTTCTCTGGAACACCAATCACATGTATATTTGGCTGTTTCAAATTGTGTCACAGCTCATTATCAATTCTTTTAAAAATATTTTTTAAATTTTTTTCCTGTTTAATTTCAGATAGTTCTATTACTGCGTCCTCCAATTCACTAATCTTTTTATCTGTCATGTCTAATATGTTCTTAACCTTATCTAGTGTATTTTTCTTCTCTGACATTGTAGTTTTCATCTCTACAGGTTTGTTTGGGTTCTCTTTTCTATCTTCCATAATGCTTTCTGTTTTCTTGACCATTGAGTGTATGGACCATATCTATAATAGCTATTTCAGTGTATTTGCCTACAAATTCTGTGTGCTCTCTCATTTCTATATGTGTTTCTATTAATTGATTTTTTATTCTGTTTGAGTTATGTTTTCCTACTTCTTTGCATGCTTAGTAGCTTTTTTATTGGATAGCAGATGTTTTGAATTTTGGGTATTGCATGCTTGATTTTTGTGTGTGTGTTTTTAAATATTTTTGAGTATTGGGATAAAGATAAATTTGAGAACAGTTTGATTCTTTCTAGACTTACTTTTATGCTTTGTTAGGGAAATCAAAGCAGCCTTTACTCTAAGATTAATTCGATACCATTAGTAATGTATTTCTGATTATTCATCCTGATGATTTATGTAGTTCAAAATTTCTTGAATTGTTCCAGCCCTGTGTGTCCTCCAAGAATTGTCTGCCTATTCCTCTCTGGTGGTTCTTTTCCCAGCTCATTTCCTCACATACATTCTCAAAAGTACTCAGCAGAGCACTCAAGGTGAAGCCCTGTGTACCTCTGAGTGTCTCTCTGTATGTAATTCTTTTCTCTCTGGGGCTCTGCCTGTGAATTCAGCCTCCTTGGCCTCCTCAAATTTTTAACTCTGTCTCCTCACCTCTGGGAGATCACCAGGTCTTGTTTGGGGCCCCCCTTCCTGTGTTGCAGCCTAGAAACTCAAAGCTTAATTATAACTCTGGCATAATTATAGGAGTCATTGTATTTGTTTCCCTTTTCTTAAGAATCACTGTCCTGTGCTGCCTATTGTCCAGTGTATGAAAACTTTTAGTGTGTTTTTTGTTGTTGCTTAACGTAAAAGGTTCAATCTGGTCTCTGATACTCCAACATCACTTGATGCAGAATACTGACTTCTATATTGTTTCATTTATTACCAGAGTAAATTCAGTATTCACATAATGAATCACGAGGATGTTGCCTTTTCTACAGGGATTAGATAGAATAATATACCTGAAAAGTACCCTATAGATGATAAAGTGTAAAGTGCTACAAAGATATTTGCCATTGCCATTACCTTGGAGAGTACCTGGTTTTCCCATAGTTTTGAATGTTCTTTATAGGAATAAGGCCTAATGGACCAAAATGATGGAGATTTGGTTTTTGAGAAATTTCCTATGCCTCCATGCATATTAGTATGCCATGTTGTAGTATATTTTTCTGTGCTGTATTAATTCATGCATTCATTGATTCAATAGATATTTATTAGACATCCATTGTTCTAGATACTGGATATCTCTGCCCTCAAGGAGTTTAAATTCTCTCTTAGCATATTTTCTTCTGTTTATGTCTCAGCTACCCCATTTTTTTCCTATCACTGACTGGACATGTGTCTCATTCTATCTGTGGGCCTCTGTCTGAAGGCTCATCTCATTCTTCCTTTACTCATATTTCCTTACCATAGTTTATCTGGTCTTTCCACATTGTCATATTATTTGCTTCATTCAATCCAGTTGTCATATATTTCTATCTTCTTTGTTCTTACCTTTTTTCCTTCTTTTTGGGTGAATGTCAGAGTAAAACAAGACCTTCCAAACACTTACCAGGCTTTAAAAGATCTGTGCCACCACTTCCTTTTTTGAACCCTTGACCTCTTCTTCATTTTCCTCTGTCCCAGTGGTCGGCAAACTCATTAGTCAACAGAGCCAAATACCAACAGTACAACAATTGAAATTTCTTTTGAGAGCTGAAAACCGACTTCTGCACTTGGGCCATGAAGTTTCAATCACACTGTACGTGTGTGCCCACACATGGTATTCTGTGGAAGAACCACGCTCAAGGGACCAAAGAGCCTTATGTGGCTCCCAAGCTGCAGTTTGCCAACCACTGCTCTATTCACCTTGGCCTCCTTGCCATTCTTGTTTTTAGAAAACACCAGGCATGACCCTATTTCAGGGTGCTTGCACTTGCTATTCTTCCACATATCTATGTCTTCCCCCTCGCTTCCTTCAAGTCTTTGCTCAGTTGTCGTCTTTTCAATGAGCCCTTTCTGGCCTCTCCCTATTTTAAAGTACTATGCCTTCTACTACTTCTTCTGTTCCCTACCTTATTTTTCTTCGTAACACTTATCATATAAATTGCACTATAAAATTTGCTTCACTTCTTATCTGTTGTTGCACTAGCATATAAATTCTATGAAACTCGGGATTTCTTTATTGCTGACAGGAGCAATAGGACACTGCCTGACAGTAATAAAGAGTTGAGTCAATATTTGTTGAATGAATGAGTCTCCTTAGTAAAGTGCTTTTTCGTTTATTGTATTACATTCATTAAATATACTTCTTTCATATACTTTATTTAAAAAACAAATGGTGGGAGCATTTTATATATTTTCTTTAGAATCCGTTAAATTGCTTTATTTAGTTTATTAACATATTTTGTCCTGTAGGTATGTAACCTTCACGATAAAAGGTTCTCCATCCCTGATTACAGATATACCTTCAGCCATGAGCCCATGTAGAATTAGAAAACATTTTAGTAATAATGAATAATTTCAGTCTTATAGATAACCTAGGAGAAGGTGGAATTCCTGGAAGGGGACCCCAAATAGGACTTAGACTTTAAATCCCATTCAGAAACCCAAGGATAATCCAAAAACAATAAACAAAAAAAAATTCTTTGAAATATAATATTACTCTTATTCTGAGAAAAAGTTAGAAAAGTTAGTACTATATTTGAATTAACATATTTTATACAGCTCTCCCAAAAAATACTTCAAAATGCGTCCATGTAAAATTTTTTATTAGGTTATATATACCTGTCTACCCCACTCCCTGAATCATAATTTGAAAGTCTAATATACTCTAAAAGCCAAAAGGTTTTGCTTAATTTACCACAGACTTCTTTAGTGGAAAAACCCAACCTGTTCTGAAGGTACAGCTGGTTATAATCTTTATTTTCCCACTCAGTGAATCTGCTTTATATATTTCTGGAGAAATACTAATGTGTTTGGTTATGGTGTGGGCCCCAGTGATTGAGGACCTGTGTATGTTTTTTTAAAATTCTCTATGCTCAAGTGAAACCATATATTCTAGTCCTTGACTGCCTAACCTTGGGTTGTTGTTGTTATTGTTGTTTTCTCCAGCTTTGCAAACCTAGGCATACTTCATGTGACAAAGAAAAAAGTATATGAAACACTGGAAGCACGGATGACAGATGCGTGCATTAGGGGCTACAATCCCGGACTTTTGGTGCATCCGGATCTTGCCTATTTGCAAGCAGAAGGTGGAGGAGAGCGGCAGCTCACAGGTGAGTGTCACTCTCCCATCCCTGCTTTTTGAGAGCTCGGGCTCTTATTTCTTGTGTGTAGATATGTCCTCATCTGTATGCCTCAAGTTTCTCTTTCTCTCAATCTGTACCCCAAGCTGCTCCCACTCTTTTCCTGCTCAGAAACCTTTGATGACGTCCCCCTGCCTCTAGAATAAAATCTGTCCCTCCTTAGCCTGGCACACAAAGCCCTCCCAGTCTGGCCCCACCCACCTGGGTAGCCTCATCTTCAGTCCCACCTGCCCCCGCCGTTGCCCACCTCTGCCCCGTGAACATTCATGCATCTCCATTCCTTGGTATGTGTATTTCTCTCCTTAAACCCACCTTTCCCTTTTTCAACCTGTCAAAATAATTCATAATTCAAGACTTCGTTTAAAAATAACTCCTCTCTTTTATCTCCCCCAGCTCACCCACTTATAAGGAATCTTTCTTTCTTTGGATACTTCAGGCACATTTTAAACTATTGTCTTTGTCATTAAAATGCTATGACTTTATGTTTTCCTGCCTTCACTCCTATTTTTTTTTTTTTCTTTCAACCCCAAACCTTGTCCCATCACCTTCTCCATTTCTGCTTTTATATATTCTCCTTCAGTCTGGCCAGAGGAGCTCACATTCAGATGATCCAATCATCATTTTCCACTAACTGTGTTCCAGCTTCTGATACCCAGACTCTAAACCTTCTCACCGTCTTTGACTCCTCCATGTCCAGCTAGAGGTCCAGCTGTGCTGTGCTGTCTCTCGTGCTCCACTCCTCACTCCGCTTTTGCTGCGCTGTCTTTGTCTCTCCTCACTTCTGATTCAGTTTACACCCTACGGTCAGATGATCTCACCACTACTTAGTGCCTCCCAAGAGCTGGTGCCTGTCTACATTCCCAACTCTATTCCCCACCATGTCCCTTCATGTCAAACTGAACTTCTCCACAAGGCGCCATGGTTTCTCACTTCCTCGCCTTGCCACATTCTTCCTAGACTTGAATCTCCCCGCTTTCTGGAATGCCCTTATTCACCCTCTTCATAAGTGCAAGTTCTACCATCCCTTCAAACGTCTCTTCTCCAAAGCCTCTGGGTTCTCCCCTCCTTTGGAATTCCATATCATTTCATCGGTAGCTCTTGGAGCGTCCTTATCACCTGAATTATCACCTTTTATGATATGAGATAATTATGATTATATCCATCAGCATCAAAGTTCCATCACGGGGGGGTGGGGGGGAGCCAAATGCAGTTGGGTCGTTCAGTTCCTTCAAAAGTACTTTCTGAGTACCTACTATGTGCAAAGGAGGGTGCTAGGCACTGTGGAATGAGCACAGTCTCTGTGCTCAAAGAGTTTGGGGATACTAAATTTTCACATTTCACAAAACCACCGATGCAGAGTTGGCTTATTACGTTCTAGTCCATCATATTGTTTGTATCCTCAACTCCTACTGTAGAGTGAAAAGGGGGAGTTCGTGGAGAGATAGGAAAGGAGAGGCACTTTGCTACATGGAGGACAGATTTTACTGTAATCCACAGGAAATGCAGGTCTTGTTTTAATGGTTTTAATTTTGGATGACATATATGGGATAAATTTTTAAACGTTATTAACAACATGAAGAATTTTTTTAAAGCAACACAGTTTTCATTTCAAGCTTATATTATGGGGGCTTGATAAAAGCACCATGTCTAAAATGCTCTCGCTTCACCCTTGCCCTGTGCTGTGTGGTCCTAGATCGGGAAAAGGAGATCATCCGCCAGGCAGCTCTTCAGCAGACAAAGGAGATGGACCTCAGCGTGGTGCGGCTCATGTTTACAGCTTTCCTCCCCGACAGCACCGGTAGCTTCACCAGGCCCCTGGAGCCCGTGGTATCAGACGCCATCTATGACAGCAGTGAGTGCCTGACTTCTCATGGGAGGCAGCTCCGTATAATATCAAGAACAGACTTGCAGCCTGCCCGGGCAGTTGCTTACTAGCTCTGAGTCCCCGGGCAAGTAATTAATTACTTGGAGCCTCATGTTTACCATCTACAGAATGGGAATACTAAAATCTAATATAAAAAGTTGATGTCGGGATGGAGGAGGTGAAGGAGGAAGAAAGGAGACATCTGTAATACTTTCAGCAAAAATGATAAATTAGGAAAAAAGTTGAAATGTTAAAAGGGGCTCAGTAAATCTAGTTCTCTTCTCTCAGATGCATTCTAGTCTTTTACATGTAATGTCAAATCTCATTCCTTACCAAGGCCTTGCTTTGAGGGTATAGTGTTTGTGCTCTCAGATGAAAAAAGTACCTTAATTTTTTCCACTGGGAGTCTGATCAAAAGTTAACAAAAGACAACTATTTTTCTTACCTAATTCTCACATTCTTAATAGCTTTATCAAGATAGAAACTTCAGCCCTGGCTGGTTTGGCTCAGTGGATAGGGCGTCGACTTGCGGACTCAAGGGTCCTGGGTTCAATTCCAGTCAAGGGCACGTGCCCAAGTTGTGGGCTCGATCCCCAGTGGGGAGCGTACAGGAGGCAGCCAACCAGTGATTCTCTTTCATCATTGATGTTTCTATCTCTCTCTCCCTCTCCCTTCCTCTCTGAAATCAATAAAAATATATTTTGAAAGAAAGCCTGCAAGTGCACTACATAGGCTCATTGACAGTTTCTAGGGTTTGGTCTAAGTAGGAAACTCCAGGCTCCAAGGACAACTAACTGATTTTTTCTAATTTAAACAAGTTTGAAAGGAAGTGAAAGAGGTATAAAATGATGTAGACTCATGTATTGAAGATCATCTTAAAATGCAGGTGTTGGGGGAACAAGAAAAAAGGAAGCTTTATACCATTACCACACAAAACTTTTGCCCCTAACCACACAGAATTCTAATTTAGTTTGGGGAAAAGAAATATAACATCTCCATTTTTCTTTTCTGTGGAATAAAAATTAAATAGATAGGCTAAGAAAACTGTGTTTCTCCTAAATTTATCGGGCTCTTGTAAATGGTATATCAGTGTCATGGAAATAAGCGTGGGCCAAGTCTTGTCTTAATTGAAGTTCCACCAACCCATGGCTTCGTTCCTCCCAGTGCGTGAGAAGAGCTCTCTCTTTCTGTCTCGGTCTCTCTGACTGTGTTAGTGGGAGAAACCGAGACTGCTCCTCTCGGCCTCCTCTATTTGGGTGGTAATGATTTAAAAATATATATATATATATTTCATTGATTTTCCACAGAAAGAAAGGGAGAAGGATAGAGAGCTAGAAACGTCGATGAGAGAGAAACATCGACCAGCTGCCTCCTGCACACCCACCTCCGGGGATGTGCCCGCAACCAATGTGCCCTTGACTGGAATCGAAACTGGGACCCTTCAGTCCGCAGACTGACGCTCTCTCCACTGAGCCAAACCTGTTTTGGCGAGGGTGGTAATGATTGATCCATACCCAAGAGTCCTCTGTGGATTTCAGAAGGCATTTTTGTTTTATTTGTATCCTTGTTAAAACAACATGAGTGGAAGCATCTATTTCAACTTTCATTTGATTAAGCTGTGCTAAGGGTAGGGTCCCTCATAAGAGATTGGCTTATGGGGATACTGTAAACGGGGTTGTTTGTGGATCTGAGGCTAAGCCAGGATGATTTTTGTTTTTCTCCTGTGGACAGAAGCCCCCAATGCGTCCAATTTGAAAATCGTACGGATGGACAGGACAGCGGGATGCGTAACTGGAGGGGAAGAGATTTATCTTCTCTGTGACAAGGTTCAAAAAGGTAAATATATGATGTGAAATATTTTGAGTGTCTGTGAGTCACTTTTTGACAGAGGATATCCCTTTAAAATTTACACATTTCACCTCTGCCAACTGTATCGGTATTTTTTAAAACCCAACCAATTCATTTAAAAATTTTCAACAGAAGTAAAGAGAAATTCTAAAATGGTGGTAATCAGTGACATGTCAATGTTTTTATGCTTCAAAATTTAGTATCTGAACTTAGTGACTAACAGAAATGTGAAATAGTCCATGCTTCAAACACACACACACACACACACACACACACACACACACACACACACTAATGTTTGTATCTATTACATGCTGTGCCATTGAGTCAGCTCTGACTCCCAGCTATCCTATGAATGAGTGATGTCCACAATGTCCTGTCCTCAACTGCCCTGTGTGGCTCCTGGAGATTCATGCTTGTGTCTTCTTTTATGGAGTCAATCCATCTCATGTTTGTTCTTCCTCTTTTCCGGCTGCCATCTGGCTTTCCAGCATTATTGTCTTTTTCAAAGAATCTGCCTTGTCATGATGTTCCCAGTTGTGTTGTCATTTCTACCTCCAGTGATATTTTAGCCTTAATTTGCCGAAAGACCCACTAGTCTCCCTAAAGTTTTGCATAGCATGAAGTTGTTTCTTTTGTTTACCTTACGGTGCTTTGTTACAACATTGAGAGAGCTTTTCCAGCTGCTCTCACATGACACTGTGATGTGGGCTAAAGAGAAGAAAGAATAGGGATGATAGGGAAATTCTCAGAGCAAATGTTCTTCATAATTTTGAGTTTCAGAAAAGGTTCTTGACATTAATCGTGTGAAATATAGTACAAGATTAATAAATTAGCAAAAGCTTGCGAACAATTTATTTTCTCAAACTTCACTCATTTTTAAAATAAAATGATTGAAGATATAGTATAATAAAGATCTGCTCCCTACAAAGTGAGGAGCATTTTTTAAATAAGCAGATACACAACTGGAAATAGAGCCCCTAAATAAATGAATCATGGCTTTAAAAAGAAGAAAATTCTCATTTGAGGCTAAATGCTCTGAGGTAAAAAGTCTGAAAAAATAAATCAGATTTTAAGGTAAATGTATATGTGTTTATCAAAAAAAATTTTTTTACACTTTCTCTGCTTATCCTGGTGGTCAACCTTTTTTAACCCATTCTAGTCAAACAATACACATTTCCAGATTCCTGGGCAAGCCACGGAGATGCCTGCCTGAGTGACACTATCTTGTTTCTGCAAAAGTAAAATCCATGACTGAAGTGTGAAATGTAGGCATTCTAAATTTAATCTGAAGGACTTGACAAACTTAATATTTTTAACACTTTTCCAGTAAGGATTACTAAAGTATTATAGTGAGGCAGTATAGGAGAATGTTTAATAATAGAATATTTAAGTCAGAAACTATACTGTATGTGTTCAAATCTTGGTTTCTCCATTAACTGCTACTCAACCTTGGATAAATTACTTAACCTCTCTGGACCCTAGTTTTCTTCTGCAAAATAAAGATATTAATAGCACACCTACAAAATTATTGTGAGGATTAAATCAGTTAATATATACATATAAATCACGTAAAACTGTGTCTGCCATATAATAAATGTATATAAGTTAAATATTATTATGTAAATCTTTATTGAGTTGAACCACATTTCAGGATTCTGCTATTCCTCACTATCCTTCCTCTTTCTCAGAAGTGGATTGGTTTAGAGATGGAGAAATGGGAAGGTCAAAGATTAAGTAAGAGAAAACTCAAATTGAATATCTAAATCTGTCATTGTAAATGAAACCTGGGGCCCATTACTATGGTAACTAATAAAAAATTCAGTGATTTGTACAAATTTTAAATTATTAAAAAGTCAATTTCGTATTAATTACTTTCAAAACTGTAAGTGCACAGTAAGTAGAATTTTGAACCAACTTTCTTTCCAGCATGTTTATAAATATAATTACATTCTGTGAAATTATACACTTGACTGTTTGCAGATGACATCCAGATTCGATTTTATGAAGAGGAAGAAAATGGTGGAATCTGGGAAGGATTTGGAGATTTTTCCCCAACAGACGTTCATAGACAAGTAAGTGGATGATGGTGATAAGTTTACATTTTTGCCTTGTTGAAATTTACTATTTAGTTCTCATATATGAAAAAGGGAAAATTATTTTCTCCCAGTTCTGGAGGCTAAAAGTTACAGATCAAGATTTGACAGGGTTAGTTTCTGGTGAGAGCTCTCTTCCTGGCTTCCAGATGGCTGCCTCCTCGATGTGTCCTCTCAGGGTAGAGAGAGTAAGCTCTCTGGTGTTGCTTCTTATAAGGACACTAATCAGGGCCCTGCCCCTATGGCCTCATTTAACCTTAATTTTATCCATGAAAGGCCTTATATCCAAGTAAAGCTACATTAGACATGTGGATTGGGGGGAGATGGACACAATCAGTTCATAGCAGTGTTCTACTACAATGATTATGGTGAAGTGTGCTACAAGGTTATTCTAATAAAAAGCTTTGAAAGGAAGAATCTTCTAGTTGAGGCTAATGTTATTATGTGTATATGACTAAGAAATAAAAATGCTAAATCCCGCCCTAGCTAGTTTGGCTCAGTGGATTGAGTGTCAGCCTGTGGACTGAAGGGTCCTAAATTCGATTCCAGTCAAGAGCACATGCCCAGGTTGAGAGCTGAATCCCCAGTAGGGGGTGTGCAAGAGGCAGCCATCAATGATTCCATCTCATCCTTGATGTTTCTCTCTCTCTCTCCCTTTCCCTTACTCTCTGTAATCAATAAAAATATATTTTAAAAAAGAAAAGAAAATGCTAAATCCCACCTTAATGATTACTCTGAGTGACTAAGGAATCTGTTTTCATACACACACACAAAAAGGGACACAATCCAAATATCCATCAATAAGTGGCCAATCAAATAATGTTGTATCTATGTGATGGAATATTATGCAGTTAAAAGAATGAGTACTCTATGAACTATTATGAAAAGATCTCGAAGATACAACAATAAAACATTTTAAGAGATAAATATAAAACAAAGTGTATATTTAAAAGATTCTGTGGGTATCAGAATCCATAAAGAAACTCTGGAAGAAATTAATAAATTCTCTGTGTTTACCTCTGGGGAGTGGGAATGGGTGGCAAGGAAACAGTAAGAATTGCCTGAACGGGGGATAGGAATGGCAAGAAGAAATTTCTATGTATGCCATTATATACCTTTTTAGATTAAAAAAAAAAAAAAAAAAAAAAAAAAACTTTATTTCTATGAATATATTATAGTCAAAAAGTCAAACTTAAAAAAAAATGTAAAAATGCCAGCAATGGTCCAGAATGCCCTGCATATGCCCTGAGCCTTGGCCAGTCTCACCTCAAAAAAAAACTGACCCTATAATGATGTCTCCCTTGAAGGGTTTAGTCACCTCTCTTCATCACAGGCCTGTAGGCTGATAATAGTACCACCTTCCTCATCTCCCTCATCCCCAAACCAGTCTTCCTGATGTTGCTGCCAGTAATCTTGGAAGCTTTTAAGGCTAATTTAAAAGATGAGAAGGGCCAAAACTGGTTTGGCTCAGCAGTAGAGCGTTGGTCTGTGGACTGAAAGGTCCCAGGTTCAATTCCGGCATGTATGTTGGTTGTGGGCACATCCCCAGTAGAGGGTGTGCAAGAGGCAGCTGGTCGATGATTCTCTCTCATCGACGTTTCTAGCTCTCTATCTCTCTCCCTTCCTTTCTGTAAAAAATCAATAAAATATATTTTTTTAAAAATAAAAGATGAGAAGGTATATGCAGTGTATTTTTTTCACATGATTATTCACAAGTGAAGACATCTAAATTATTATATAAATGTAACAATAAAGATTTATAATACATCGGCACCACCTTGCTTCAGTTTCACAATAGCAATTTGGTTAAAATGAATGGGTACAGAATTCTGAGTTTGTAACCTTTTCTAGTGTACTGTATTTTCTTTTGCACACTAACCATTGTGCATAAGGAATGTGTTTAAATAAGTAGCATCCTAACATTTGGATCTTTGTATCCTGCAGTTTGCCATCGTCTTCAAAACACCAAAGTACAAAGATGTCAATATCACCAAACCAGCCTCCGTGTTCGTTCAACTTCGGAGGAAATCTGACTTAGAAACTAGCGAGCCAAAACCTTTCCTGTACTACCCTGAAATCAAAGGTAACTCGGTTGTCTATGCTCTGGCTCCTGTGTCCCTAAGAGGACAAGCTTATTAGCAGATATCCATTAGTCACCTCCTTGCAGCAACTTCCTGGTACCTGTCCCCTGGGTCCATGGTACTTATTTTTTAGAGAAGAGAGAAGTTAATATACTATGTTGGGGTCATGGAATTAAGCCCAGCCTTTTAAAATAATGTTATCTTCAAGCTTATATGAGGTTTAGACCTTTGAGAATTTGCAACTACCATTTATTGAGGAATGCAGGGTTCAGGCTGCAGCGATGACAAGATAAGGCTCTCTGTGTCGGAGAGTCAGCCTCTCTACTCACAGGCCTCAGGCAGGTGAACAGAAGGTTCAGCCCCCGTGCTGTGCAGAACTATAAAAACGAGTAAAGCACCATTCTTTTCCTCACGAAAGACACACAAAGGAGGGGACAGCATAGTCGCCTTAAAAAGTTATAATCAAATTAATTCTTTTTGTAAGTTCCAAAAGTGAAGCGTCCACAAACACATAGCCAGCTGAAGAAAGAGAGCGCTTGCTTCTAAAGCCACCCAGAAGAAGCTTTCTTCAAGGTCCTTAAAACTGGGGCTGTACCTCAGTATTTAGGTGTGGAAGGGAAAAGGGGAAGGGTTCCCTAGGCCTCGGAAACTTGAGGAGCTAAAACAGTATTTGCTCAGAGAAAAGTGAGCAGTGTGAGCACTGAGACGGACTCCTGAGGCCGAGGAAGGCTGGGCAGGAAGGCCAGGGCCAGGCTCCGAAGTGCTGGGATCGGCAGCTAAAGAATTTTGTGTTGATTCTGGAGAGGGGAACGGCCTGGCCTGTTTGAATTTGGAATGATGGCCCTGACTTCTTTATATAAACATGGGGAAAACTCTCTGGGCTGCAGTGAGTCTGAAGAGGAATGCAAAAATCCAAGTGAGAAATGGTGAAATTATTAAAGGTATGAGTGCAAAGAATGAGAGGAGAAGTTGGGTTTAAAAGGCAGTTCTGTGATAGTGTCAGGAGGATCTAGATGCTGGTTGAGTAGGAGGAGAGGGAATAATTCAGAAGTCATAGATGGTCCTAGGAAGTTATCTTGTTGGACTTTAGGTTCTTGCGGCAAATTCCTCATAGGCCAGTTAAAAGAGAGGAGTGGAACTCAAGAGAGCCAGGCGGGAAATTGAGTATTGAGAATGCTCTCGGAGTGAGTGTAACAGGTATTTGATTTCTTTTTCTGGTGCCCACTGACCCCTAAGGGGTCCATGGATAGAAATCTGCTTTACTATAATTAGCTTTGTTGTGGTACTATCTAGTATTATACATATTGAAAACTGTGATTCTAAGATGGGATCCAAAGACTTCACAGACTGCACACTGGGCCACGGCACAAAGAAAATTGGAAACCTCTGGACTGAAGGGAAGTGAGACCCGAGAGGGAGTTTAGTCCGTGATTGTCACAGGGCACCACGTGCTGGCCGAGGTTGGGCATCACGAAGGCACCTTAGCAACGATCCACAAGTGTGTTGGATCCTGTGATAGTAGCATGATGGGTGATTTTAAGGAGGACTTTCCTTTCCTAGACTTCATGTTGCCGCTGGATGCTTCCTGAGTTCTTGTTTCTTTTCTGAGGTTGTGACCTCTCTACTGATGAGTCACATGTATAGTGCGTTCCCTGACTGGTGATTTGAAAACATTGTCTGCAGAGGAGCCCTTTCCCTTCACATGAAGTTCCATGCACCATCCCAGTATACGGACCTGCTAGGCTCTGGCAACACAGAGGGAGAGCACTCTGCCCACTTCACCTTTCCCGGAAGCGCTCTCGTCAGCTCTTCACTTCCCCACACAGGAGCTGCCTGGGGTCTTCTGGATGCTTCCGTCTATGTAAAATTTGAAAGTCAAATTTTAAACATCCCTCTTTAAAAGGAGACAAATTTTCTTACTTTCTGAGAAAAGTAAATAGATTTTTTTTGTCCTGGAATGCCTTCAAAATGACAATTTTTCTAACACCGAAAATTGTGTTTCAAGAGGAAACCCAGATATGGATGAGCCTAGAAATATTAAAAGCTGAGCTTGGTTTCTCGGCTGCATGTCTCCCTTTCCCAGTGGTATAGGCATCAGAAGGATATGATGCAGGAGGCATGTGCGCAGACTATTACTTTCATTGCTACCCTATTGTGGTAGGAGCTATCTATTGATGATGGGCTTAGAGAATAGATGGGGCGTCTGGAAAGTTCAAAATCCCACCCAAATGCTTCCAGCACTTACCTTCCAGGCTACCATTGACTAAAAGCTCCATGCAATACAAACAATTAGAGAAGAACCATCTGGCCCTGGCCGGTTTGGCTCAGTGGATAGAGCATTGGCTTGTAGACTAAAGGGTCGCAGGTTAAGTTCCGGTCAAGGGCATGTAGCTCCGTTGCAGGCTCAGTCTCCGGCCCTGGTTGGGGCACCACATGAGGCAACCAATCGAGGTGTCTCTCTCACATTGATGTTTCTCTGTGTCCCTCCCCCTTCTTCCACTCTCTCCAAGAATCATTGGGAAAATATCCTCAGGTAAGGATTAACAAAACAAAATATTTTTGAAAAGAACCATCTAGAAAAATAAGAGTTAGTCGTTGAGCTCCAAAGAAAGAAAGACCAACGTACATTGAGGCATTGAGTCATTGTGAGATAAGAACTTTATATTGAAGATAAATTACCTTAGCCTATAAAACTTTCTGGATTATAAAATTCCCAAAGTGGAATAATCACAAGGAGAACCAATCACACCAGGCTTGTGACTAATCAGTAAATAGCAGGCCAGTTCACATGAAAATAAGTGTATGAACATGATGCAAACTAGGCAACCCATTTCTCAGAAGTCATTGTACGCACTTCCCACTGCCCCCATCCCCTGCAGTCACTCCCTATCTCGTAGTCTAAATTTATATTCTTCATTATTTTTATCAGTATATAAAATAGTCTTCTCTACTAATTTATGTGTTTGTTGTCTTCTTCCTACCTCCAGCAAGAGACATACTCTTTGGGCCACAGATTTGGCTTTTCGTGTTAATTGCTACACCTCCAGCATCTAGAACAGTATGTGTCACATAGTAGATGCTCATTAAATACCTGAGAGCTGACTTATTAATTATCCAAGCTTCCAACCTCATTCAAAAGGCTAATAATTTGTTGAACGTCATCATGTAGGAGATTAGATAAAGAAATATAACATAGTCTTTTCATTTTTCAGAATCATCCAGCCCTGAACTCTGCATCCTCTATGGTCATTGGCATTATGCTTTATTAAAACTCCATGGAGATGTTTGAGTCCAGGGGAGATAATTAAAAGAGATGGATGATTGACAAGGGCAAAAATAGGTGAGGAACAGCTATGCAAAAGCAAAGAAAGACCATGTGATTTTTCAGTCTGAAAAGATGGAGATTAGGAAGAAACAGTATAATCTTTAAATTATATGTTTATGTTAAATTATGTTTCCCAACAAATAGCAGCTCACTAAAATGAAAAGCTCACTGGACTTTGGACCTGAACTTCACTCTGACCTGACCGCAAACAGGTCCCTTAATCATCTTAGCTTTGGTTTCTTTACTGTAAAAGAAGGGCCTAGAGTGAGTGGTCTTCTAGAATTAGGTCCCTTCTAGAATTAGCTCAGTGTCTCGCCATGCATCCCCTGGTGCCACTGTCAAAGGCAGACCACAAGGATACATGAGCCCAATGTGAAAATCTTCATGTAATCTTCAATTCAGACATTTAGACTGTAGATTTTTTTTACTTAAAAAGCTTGTCACATGGAATTTTTCTGTATCAGTTTCTTGTTGTTGGAATTTTAGTGGCTGTACAGTAAATATTTTTTTAAGTTGACCCTTAAAATTTTAGAGTGAAATATAACCAGTAGATATCTGCTTTATAAGTCAAAAGAAATACATAGCAAATACAAAATGATCTCTGTGCTAAGAAGCACATCAGTAGATACCATTTATTTCAAAAGATGAACAAGTTGCCTGTGTTCCTCTCATGGTTCATATTCCTAATGAAATAATATTCTCTGTGAGTGCAACAGTTTATAGGATGAGTAAATAAGTGTGACGATTAGTTATGGTACAACTGGTGGAAAATGTGATAAGCCTGTCCAAACCTTTTGGTAAAGAGATAGTTTGGGTAAAGAGATGACCTCCACGTTAAGGTCATCTCTTTCTGTGGAAGCACAGAGTCTTCAGAGTTGACCCTCCATAGCTTTTTCCCTCCTAACAAGCCTGGACATGGCCAGTTTTTAAACTATGATTTCCTAAATGTGCTTTGCTACCCTACTTTCCCTGCTTCCTCTTCCATCTGCACTCAGATGATCGGGAGAACATCAGTAAATAGCAGCATTCTTTCCAACCCTGAGATGATGGAAACAGCTGCAGGATTAGAAAGAAGGGAAGATATTTCTGAACATAAACAGAGATCACAACTGACATTGAGAAATCAGAACTAGAACAATTGGCTTATGATGGGGGGAAAAGGATACCATATTGACTGTTTATTCCATTTAAACAAAAATCTTTTTTTTTTTTATTGTTCCTTCAGCCCAAAAGAGAGAAGGGAGGGGAAAAATTAATAGTATAATAGGAAAATCAGAGAAGAGAAAGGGAAACAGAAAGAAGAAACAAGAATGGAACAATAGACCACAAAGGCAGGGCCAGGCCTAGGGGGCCATGGGACTGGTGAGAAGCACTGATAGTGAGAAGCGAAAGAAAAATAGAGCAACATGAGGAATGAAGGGAGGGTCTGATGAGGACCTAGACCTGGACAGGCACTGTACTGTAGTCCAGTAGTGGTCACAGACCTTTAGCCTTCTATATCTCACCCATCGCCCCAAGGGCGACAGACCTCTCTTTCATTGTATTTTGGGCTCCACCTATTTTGATTACCATGGTAACCAAGGAGCAGTCTCCATCAAATTATGTCTGCACTGTCTCTGTCTCTCACTTTGATTCTTTATTTTATTATTATTATTATTATTGATTTTAGAGAAAGGAAGAAAGAGAGGAGAGAGAGAAACAATGTGAGAGAGAAACATCCATTGGTTGCTTTCCACATTTGCCCCTACTGGGGATCAAACCCACAACCGGGGCATGTGCCTGCACCTTTTGGTGTATGAGATGATGCTTCAACCAACTGAACCACACCTGTCGGGGCTTACTTTGACTCATTTGTTTTGTCCGATATACCAGTGACAGATGAATTTCCTCCAATACCAGCACCACACACCATTCCCCTGTTCAAAAACATTGGCTGGCTCTCCTGCCTTCAGTTCACCCTCAGAGTGCTCCGCAGTGTGGTCCCAATCAGGGCTGTCTCTCAAGAACTCCTCATATTAAACTTTTACTTCAGCTAAACTGCCCTACTGCCGTCCTCGTAAATACACAGTGCACACCCTTTCCTTCATTACTCGCCCTCTGTATCCTCTTCCCAGAACACCCTTCTGTTGCCCTCTCCTGACGTAAAGTTGATTCTAAGAGACATTTCCTGAATCTTCCAGCCCTCTGGCACTTCCCTGGGGCCCTTCCTTGAGCTCCTGGAACATGGGTTTGCACCATGCATTCAACATGTATCGCATCGTAGTGCTATCTCTCAAAGTTCCTCCCCTGAGGCCTTAACATTATATCAGGGGGTTCTTGACAGCAAAGACATTATATCCTACTTCTCTATATGCCCAAAACTTATCTCGCGGGACATACCTAATTAACGTTAGCCGGTTAGCCAGAGCTGTTCTGTATGACCAAGTGAAAATGCTCAGTAATGTTTTTCTTATTCATATCTGAATCTTCGATGGGCAATGTAGTGTCTCACTAATTTGTATGACCTCGGAGACGTAAGAGACTGTTTCAGAGGGGGTTTGGGTGTGTACTGTTCTGTGGTCTCTCTCTGGCTGGTTCTGTCTTTGTATCACTGGAATAAACATGATGCTTCTTGAAATTTGGCATCTCTTCCTCCTTGGGTGCTTTCTGTTTCCCTTTATGATATTTAAAAATACCATTAGAATCAATATTCTCTCTGTGGCTAGTAGTGGAACTGCATCCATTTTTTTCTCCTTTGGTTTCTCTTCCTTTCACGACAGATAAAGAGGAAGTGCAGAGGAAGCGGCAGAAGCTCATGCCCAACTTTTCGGACAGTTTCGGAGGCGGCGGTGGTGCCGGGGCTGGAGGTGGAGGCATGTACGGCAGCGGCGGTGGAGGAGGCGGCACTGGAACTACCGGTCCAGGTACAAACCAGGTTATCCTCTCTAAAGCTTTTTCACGTAGGAGAGGGGAGAATTTTCTTTCTCGATATTTCCCAGCTTATCTGTGCGTGGAGTGGCTATGACATTAATGAGTGTGATACACTAAATTACAATTTCCCAACAAATATAACTTTTTCAAAGAAGTGCCATTGCATTTTACAGCATGTGGATAATACTAAAAAACTCTAAAAAGAAAAAAAAAATCACCCAAATCCAGTTAGCCAAAAAAGACCTCTGTTAACATTTTGGTATAGTTCCTCTACTTATTCTTCTTTTTTTCTTTTTTTTCTTCTTTTTTTTCTTTTCTTTCGTTCCTTTTTTTTTTTTTTTTTTTTTTGTCATAATTGTTTTGATATTCTTTGGAAAAACTGAAAATTATAGAAAGTCTCAAAATATATAAATTCTACTATCCAAGGTATGATTTCTACTATTTTCTGTTCCTAGATTATAGTCTATATTTATGCATTTTCCCAAATACAGCTGTGTATATCCTTATTATATGCTGTATTTTAACCCATGTAGTTGGATTATCTCTTTATTATCATCACATCATGAGAGTATGTAGAGAATCCTTATGCTGCTTTTCTCTAATGGGTTTCCATAAGCATTTCCCCAAGGTAATATCAAACTTCACATATACTGATGCATATTTTTAAGCATCAGTTTAATGACAGTAATAGTTCATCAAGTGAACAGACCATAATGTAACTTTCTTGACAATTGTCACCTCTTTCTATGTAAAATGTTATACTGAACTCTTCTATCCGCATTGCTTTTCTTTTACTGCAGATTTTTTAAGATTAGATTCTTTGAAGTAAAATTACTAGGTCAGAGAGTATAGCAACCAGTAAGACCAGCTGCTTTCCCACAGACTTTTACCAGTTTATGCTTCTACCAAAAATGCATGGGAATAAACAGATAGTCATGTTTCTGAGAAGGCAGTATATTTTTCTGTATTTTGTTTGGTTCAGTGCTCTCCAGAGGCTATTTTCATGTCTTCTGTGTCGGCGAGTCTGCCCCTGGGTGGTGACCTCTCATCGTTAGCCTCTCTCCTGCACGGGTGAGGGAGGTTTGCTCCAGCTGTGCGGCCTGAGCCTGGGCACGGCCTGACCTGCCAGGTGTCAGTTTGCCAGAATGGAACGCTGGTCATCCCGGACCCCCATGATGCATCTTGCTAACTCCCAGCAGAAGCACGGTGTCAGGCAAATGCCCTCCCACACCCAAGCCTGTGCTCACCTGGATGGGGGACATGGAAGTTGCTGAGTCTTTGTAAAAAAAAAAAAACATAACTCTTGAGGGCCCCTTTGTTTTACTTGCTGTTTCAGGGTATGGCTTCCCCCACTATGGATTTCCAACATACAGTGGAATTACCTTCCACCCTGGAACCACTAAGACTAATGCTGGGATGAAGCATGGTAAGTAAGACTTTTTTCTTTTTTCTTTTTTTTTAATACTGAGGAAGGAAGAAAAAACTTAATGCCAAACAGGATTTTTATCCTTTTTTATCCTTATTTATCACAACAGCATTATCATCTTGAAAAAAATGATGAATGCAAATAAGCTAAGATGATTTTCCAAAAATATTTCTATTTCCTGAGGAAAATTCTATTTCTGATGCTATGTTTATACTTGTGTACTTTGTAAGTGGCATGAATGGGGGGAAGACAAGGACATTAAAAGGGGATATCTAGAGACTTGAGTGTCTATAATAATAAAAAGGTAATATACTAATTAGTCCAGACAGCCGAATAATCTTCTGGGCATCCTTCCAATATACCTTCTGGACGAAGTTGTGGGGGCCAAAGAAGCTGCCACAGTGGGCAGGTGGCCAAGGCAAAGGCATTTAGGGGCAATCAGGCTGGCAGACAAGCAGTTAGGGGCGATCAGGCAAGCGGTTAGGGGCAATTTGGCAGGTAGGAGAGAAGTTACGGTAATCAGGCAGGCAGGCAGAGTGGTTAGCGGTGATCAGGCAGGTGAGCAGTTACGAGCCAGTGGCCCCAGATTGCAAGAAGGTGCAGGCTGGACTGAGGGACCTTCAAAACGCCAATGGCTCCCCTTCTATAGTCCTTTATAATAAAAGCCTAATATGCAAATCAACTGAATGGCAGAACGACTGGCCACTATGACATGCTTTGACCACCAGGGGGAGGACACTCAATGCAGGAGCTGTCCCATGGTGGTCAGTGTGCTCCCACAGAGGGAGCACCGCTCAGCCAGAAACCGGGCTCATGGCTGGCAAGTGCAGCGGTGGTGGCAGGAGCCTCTCTTGCCTCCACTGCAGCACTAAGGAGCAGTGAGTCAGCCGAGTGGTAAGGAGCAGCGAGCAGGCGGGTGGTAAGGAGCAAGGGGTCCCAGATTGCGAGAGGGCACAGGCCAGGCTGAGGTATCTTCCATCCAAGTGCATGAATTTTGTGCAACGGGCTTCTAGTTCCAACATAAAAAGTCATCAAACTTAGCTATTCTGTTTTTGTTTTTCAAACGTTATACTTTTGTAGACATTGTGAATTTTATAGGGATGGCCTTTTCCCATCAAATGCTTCCCCTAATCAGCAGCTGTCACACCATGCATTCATAGTTTATGTTACATGTCTTCTACTTTGAAGTCTTCCCTTCTCTGCATGCTGCTTTAACATGTTCTAACTAATCTTCATGATTGCTCTGTAAGGAAAATATTAGCATCTCCGTTTAACAGTCAGAGAACAGGTAGAAAAGTGTTCATTCACTCACTGAAAGACATATCTGTTAGTGGCAGAACCAGGATTTGAACAAGGTCTCCCCATAAAACATAGCTGCTCTTTCATTGGGCCTGTCAGACAACACAGGTGGACCTGAAAGAGCATGATTCAAAATAATGCACTGGGTCACTCCCACACTGAAGAATGCGAATTGAGATCACATCTTTACAACTTATGTGGTTAATCAGCAATAGGAAAGAAATAAGTCCTCTCCTTTCAACAACATTAAAAATTCTACTTTCCTGCAATTCTCAGAAGAGCTTTATGTCATTTTGTCCCTTAAAAATAAACAGAAGTTGCCAAAACCGGTTTGGCTCAGTGGTAGAGCGTCGGTCTGCGGACTGAAAGGTCCCAGGTTCGATTCCCATGAAGGGCATGTACCTTGGTTTCAGGCACATCCCCGGTAGGGGGTGTGCAAGAGGCAGCTGGTCGATGTTTCTCTCTCATTGACGTTTCTAGCTCTCTATCCTTCTCCCTTCCTCTCTGTAAAAAATCAATAAAAATATATTTTTAAAAATATAATAAAATAAACAGAAGTGATGTAAGTTTTTAGAAGTGTTAGGGGAAAAAATGGGTTTAAGTATCTTAAAAGTTCTCATCACAAAAAAATATCTGTAACTGTGTATGCTGACAGATGTTAACTAGATTTATTGTAATGATCATTTTGCAAAAAATGCAAATATCGAGTCATTATATTGTAAAATGTTTTTAGAAGAGTTTAAAATAGCTACAAAGCATGTTTGTTACTTATAATCATTTTAAAAATAATTTAAGTTATCTGACCTCCATTAAAGTAGAGACTCATATTTTTTTTTTAATATATTTTATTGATTTTGTACAGAGAGGAAGGGAGAGAGATAGAGAGTTAGAAACATTGATGAGAGAGAGTCATCGATCAGCTGCCTCTTGCACACCCCCTACTGGGGATATGCCCGCAACCAAGGTACATGCCCTTGACCGGAATCGAACCCGGGACCCTTCAGTCCCCAAGCCAACGCTCTATCCATTGAGCCAAACCGGTCTCAGCGAGACTCATAATTTTAACAAATAGATTTTATTGAGAAAAAGTTGGTGTTTTATCTTTTGTTTTAGGAATCATGGACACCTCACCTAAAAATGACTCTGAGGATTATGACAAGAGTGATGGCAGAGGGGCTGTACGTCTCTCTGGGAAAGTCACTGAAACCACAGAACCAGATAAGGGGTCGGGCCAGAGGGACGAGGAGGGCACTCTGACGTATCCAGTGGGAGAAAAGAAAGAGAATTCTAGGTTTCAGAGTAAGTGAGTACACAGATAATTACACTGCATGGTGGGTGTGGGGATGAGTCGGTGCGAGATGTAAAGGTTGTTTCCAGAAAACAGATTTTTGTTGTTGTTGTTGTTAATGTAAAGATGACAAAGCCATGTCTAGTTCAGTGTGCTCTCCAGAGTCCTGTGTGCCTTTTGAAAAGCACCTATCAGGTCATTGTACTCACACTGGGATGTCTGTTTTCCCAGTGTTGTGTTTGACTATATAAAGTACTGAAATTTACAGATGCATTCTCCAGTCATAATCATGCAGGTTTATAGTATCTGAGACAGAACCTAATTCATTTCTACCACAGATAATAGAGACAAGTAGTTTCTATAAGTTTAATAGTCTCTCTCCTCCAGATTCTAGCTTGACTGTCATATTAAAGTGGAACTTTGCCTCAAAATAAGAACTTGTCCTTTTATCCTGATGCACTGTTGAAGAATCAGGATTAGGAGGGATGGTGTAGTTTTGTGTACATTTTGAACCAATGATCATTAGAGTCTATGTCAGGATTCTAGGTCATCCCAGATTATACTTAGACGGTAAAGGGAAAAATAGTAAATACTTAGACTTGGGGTCCACATATGGTCTCTATTACAAATTTTACACCCCTTTAAAAATGAACCAAGCCACCAAAACCGGTTTGGCTCAGCGGTAGAGCATCGGTCTGCGGACTGAAAGGTCCCAGGTTCAATTCCGGTCAAGGGCATGTACATTGGTTGTGGGCACATCCCCGGTGGGGGGTGTGCAAGAGGCAGCTGGTCAATGTTTCTCTCTCATCGACGTTTCTAGCTCTCTCTATCTCTCTCCCTTCCTCTCTGTAAAAAATCAATAAAATATATTTTTTAATAAAATAAATAAATAAACAAAAATGAACCAAGCCCTGCTTAACTAGGGGCCATAGAAGAACAGGCCACGCCCAGGATTTGCCCCACGGGATTTCTTCAGGAAGAAACTGTACAAAACGCCAATGGCTCCTGGAAAATCTCTGTGTGTGTGGCAGGGACTGTGGTTTTTGACACTTGCCCAACGAACGAGTTGCTCAGGAGTTCAGTGAAGGATTGATTATTTTACCAGGAGATTAAGTATTTATAATGATGGCCAAATCCAATCAACTTCATTTGGAGATTGATTGTTCCTCTTTAAATAACAGACATTTCTAAACTTCTTTCCCCCTAGCAACTGTTGATAGATTTTTCAGATCAGCCTCTGTATGTTCCAGTGAGCCTGTGTCCAACTGTGCTTTTTCTAGTGAATACAACCCAGAAGCACAGAAAGGAGCATTGGTGCTGATGGTTTTGACCTCAAGCATGCCAGACTGTAGAGCAAGTATAGGAAACTCAGTTGTGATTTTGGTCATTGCCTTGCAGATAACCTCTTTCTGGAGAAGGCTCTGGAGCTCGCCAAGCGGCATGCCAATGCCCTGTTTGACTACGCGGTGACAGGAGACGTGAAGATGCTGCTGGCTGTCCAGCGCCATCTCACTGCAGTGCAGGATGAGAATGGGGACTGGTAAGTCCAGACTTCCGTGTACAAGGCTTGTTTTAGGGCAGGGGAAGAGAGCTAATCAAGGTGTGCATGCTGGCTAGAGAAAAGGAGAATTGAGCAAAATGATTGAATCATATAACTAGAATACTATCTTTCAAGGAAAAGAATGTGTCAGTAAGGTTGAGTGGCATAATTTGCTTCTCCTGTCCTGTGGCTCTCATCTCCTGGACTCTAGAATCACTGGAATACTCACCTAAGAGTACAGCATTCTGGACAAGGAAATTAAATTGTATGTGTGTGTATCGGGGGGAAGTGGGGCAGTACTTTTTTAAGAATCTTGCTTTATTTATGGAAACAAAATTTGGAATAATATTTAGTAAATATATATGAAGAGTAATAATATTTGCTTTAATATCATTTGCTTTGGAATCCTAATATATAAAAACCCTGGGTCCATCACATCTGCAATGACCGGAGGCTCGACCAACCAGAAGTCAGTCCTGCAGTCAGCACTGGGTAGCCGTGGTGACCCAGCACTGACTGCTATGGCTGTGGGCATGGTGACCCAGCACTGACTGCTGAGGGGGCTACGAATCAGGCCTGGAGAGAGGCCTGAAGAAAGAAGCAGGGTCTGATCCATAGCCTCTGTGGCAGCTGTTGATCAGCACTTGCCTCTCTCTTTCTTCCTGGGCCTGGTCAGCAGCCATGCCTCCATTTCTCTCCAGGCCTTCACCAGAGCTGCTGATCAGCCCCACCTTTCTGATCAGACCCTATTGATAGGCCCAGAGATGCTGACTGACACAGAAACTGACCAATCAGAACCAAATTGGCCAGCAGAGGCAGGCAATTGGGGGGGAGATCAGGCCTGCAGAGGAGGACAGTTGAGGGCAAGATTAGGCCATCAGGGGAGGGCAGTTAGGGGTGATCGGGCAGGTAAAGGCAGTTAGGGGTGATCAGGCTGGCAGGCAGAAGCAGTTAGGGTCAATCAGGCAGGCAGCCAGGTAAGCGTGTAGGAGCCAGCAGTCGGACATCCCCCGAGGGGTCCCAGATTGGAGAGGGTGCAGGCTGGGCTGAGGGCTACCACCACCCAGTGCACAAATTTTGTGCACCAGACCTCTAGTAATATAATAATAAAATGTGGTCCTACCAAATCCCTAAAACACTTGTTATCCCAAAAGTGTATTTATAATAAAGACATCACATTCTATGATCATACCACTCTGAACCCTCCCAATCTTGTCTTATCTGAGAAGCTTAAGCAGGGTGAGGCCTGGCTAGTACTTAGATGGGAGACAGCCAAGGAATTCGGGGTGCCGTAGTCTTTAAAAAAAAAAATGACAGCATAACAACAAAATGATTAAGACACAAATGTCATTCTTTCCTGGTTACTGGTTCCTTCTCTACTGCCTCTGTTAATGGTCACCAGTCTGTGACTGGCTCGGGCTCATGACCGCTCTAACCCACATTGCACGAGAGTCTAACATTCCCAACACCATGCCTCCCATTCCTGCTGTGACTGGGCTTGTACTTGCAGAGCCACCTGGCTTCTTTCTAAAAACGGTTCTCTTCGTCCTCTCACTGAGACTTCTAAAATGATCTCAGCAGCCTACAAAAATAACAAGACAGCAGCCCTCAGATTCAAATCAGATGCCTTATCTGAAGCCTTCCCAAAATAGTGTTGACAGCGAAATCCTTTTCTGTGAAAGGGCTCTTGAGTGCTGCGTTTTAAACCTCCGCTTACAAACCGAACCCAGCGCTTTAGGAAAGTGCCAATCTCAGGTTTTCAGAGACCTTTGTTCTCCTTGCAGCGTAACCAAGGATGTGGTATAACCACTGGCCTTGTTATACAGTATGAGAGGAGCCGGTGTGCCCTTCTTGGTGTAATGCCATGAGAAGCAGAATGTTTTTTCAACTGGGTTGAGTTCTCTGATTAGCACTCAGTACCGTATAACCACAAGAGAAAGCAGTGAGCCGAGGCAGGACAGCAGCATTTTCAGTGACATTGTTAGGGACCTGCTGAATGATGAGCCTAAGGAAGATGAGCACATACCAGTTAGAAAGAGACAGCTGCTGTGGGAAGGGGATTGTGGGAAGGGTAGAGGCGCATGCATTGAAGTGGGTGCATTGGGGTTGGGGGAGGCAGACACACGTGTAAGGACTCTGGGCATCTATGGAGGCGCTGAGGAGGTGGCCTTCCCTGCCCAAGCAGGAAATCAAAACTTAAGATCCCCTCCTAGGACCCCAGACATACCCATGCAAGCAGGCTGGCAGGGGCTTGACACAGCCAGAGGCCAGAGGGCTGAGACTTGGGGAGACCAAAGAGGAGTCCCCGAAAGAATGTAGACAAGAGGTACCTTTTGCCCTTCAGAACTTAGGTCTCTTGTTTTCACTGAGCTTGTCCTAGGCAGCTAACAACCTGAATCCTGTGGCTATTAGTCATCACAGAAAATACAACCACGACACAAAATAATAAAGACTTCTGGTACTGGGGAAATTCCCAGGAGGGTGTGAGGATTTGGGGAGGAAGGGGAAGTTGCTTCTGCTGTGAAGTGCTGAGCTGCACATGGAAAATTTTAGGCCGTTTTTGAAGCATGGCCTTTTTCTTGGTACGTGTGCATCATGTCTGCGTCAGACCTCAGGCCTTTTTCAGAAGTCTCCCTCCAGCCTCTCATTTCGAGAGACAGTAGTGAAACTCTGAAACCCGTCATTAAAAGAAATCTCTCCCGAGTAATGGAGTCACACTTCTTTTTGGGGGCCCTCCTGTGCCAGTCCTAAGGCTGATACCCTTGCTATTGCTAAGAAAAAGGCCTGGGTGAAATGACACCTATTATCTTTATATTAGAGCAGATCCGGTCGGTGCCTCAAACCACAGACTTACTGCCGCCGGGTGACACTTGAGTGTGCCCGGCATCACAGTCTGCCCACACTTTAGCGTTATTTATCCTCTTAGATCCGTGGTCGGCAAACTGCTGCTCGCGAGCCACATGCAACTCTTTGGCCCTTTGAGTGTGGCTCTTCCACAAAATACTACGGCCTGGGCGAGTCTATTTTGAAGAAGTGGCATTAGAAGAAGCTTAAGTCTAAAAAATTTGGCTCTCAAAAGAAATTTCAATCGTTGTACTGTTGATATTTGGCTCTGTTGCCTAATGAGTTTGCCGACCACTGTCTTAGATGTTCACCTACAACCCTCCAGAGCAATGTGCATGTGCCCCTAAAACAAGATTAAGAGATGATATTGACGCAAGACTGACCTGAGCTTAAATCCCAGCTTCACCTCTCTAGCTCTGTGACCCAGGTTGAATTCTGTTATACCTATGAGTCTCCCTTTCATCATCTGAAAAATGGGGATAATCTTACCTATCTCGTTCGATTGTTGTTATGATAAAGGATATAATATATGTCAGGTGTTTAGCAGTCTGGTAAATAGATGCTCCAACAAACAGTAGCCACTTTTATTACTGTTATCAAATTAATTTTAATAAGGTGTTTTTTTTTAACAATTAAAGAAAATGGAGTGATGCTTGGCAACCGCCAACCTTTTTTACTTTGATAGTGTAAGCTCCTAGGTTTCCTCAGTCATCCTTATTATTGTACCTAAACTGTAAGGCTGTACCAGGCCTGTCAGGCTGACCTAGAGAGAACCGGCCTCCAAGGCCGGAGAGGGAGAGAGATGTAGAGAAAATTGTAGTTGTGCAGCCACATGGTAAACTCAAGAGGAGACAACTCTCTCTGCCTAGGAAGTTGGGGAAGTCTTCTCCAAGGAGGTAAGGCTTGAAGTGGAGTATGAAGATGGAGAGGCAGCAAAACCATCTCAGGCTAAGGGGGTATCTGTGAGGGAGAAACACATTGGAGTGTTCCTTAAAAAGTTTGTCAAGGTTGCGGATTGTTTGACCTATTAACCAGAAGGTCATGGTTTGATTCCCAGTCAGGGCACATGCCTGGGCTGTGGGCTCGATCCCATGTGGGGCCTGCAGGAGGCAGCTGATCAATGATTGTCATCACTGATGTTTCTCTCTCTCTTTCCTCTCCCTTCCTCTCTGAAATCAATGAAAATATATTTTTTTAAGTTTGCCTCAAGAGTCTTCTACTCATTAAAAGCATGACTTTATTTTCCCCTCTTAGGATCTCAGAAGATCTTAAGCCACCACAGTGTACTTTGCAGGATGGCAGGGCAGGTGAGGTAGCTGCATTTTCTGCACAGATCCGAGTTCAGGCACCCCACGTGCATTGCCTACCTGTCAGGGAAAGTTACAGAAGAAAGTGCCCTGGAATGTGGGGGCAGGGACAGAGTGGGGATTTGAACTCAGCTCTCTGCCTCAGAGCCCAGGTGCCTTTCCGCCTGAGCGGAGTATCAAACCTGAAAGCACCCAGAGACAAGGCAGGCACCGTAAATGAGTGAAGGAGCCCTGGGTAGGCAGAAGAGCACCCACCTCATACTCAGACATGCTACCAATTCAGAACATTTGGGGCTAAAGGAAATTAGGAATGAGAGCCAGATGTAGCCTCCAGATCTAATCATATCTTGGAAATCTTTTTTCTCCCCATTTACATTTTAGCTGATTGTTGCCATTGTATTTTTGTTCCAGTGTCTTACACTTAGCAATCATCCACCTGCATGCTCAGCTTGTGAGGGATCTGCTAGAAGTCACGTCCGGTTTGGTTTTGGATGACATTATCAACATGAGGAATGACCTCTACCAGGTAAGCAGAACTATCAGGGATTCAAATGAAAAATCTATGGTTTGTATAGCCACATGCACGTGTGTGTGTGTGTGTGTGTGTGTGTGTGTGTGTGTGTGTGGTGTGGTGTGTGTTATTTCTAATAATGTTAGCAGTAGAGATACATACAACAAAACATCTTTGCAGGTAAGATCCTCAAAGCCTATCACTCAGGAATGTTCTTCAGTGAATAGGATGCTTTGATCTGGTGTGCTAGCCGTCACCCACAGTGAAAGGTCACAGCTGCTGCAGGAAGGTGAACTTGAAACTTTAGAGGCCATCAAAGAGTCCATCCATTTTAGAGGAAGAACCTCGCATAAATGCATCACGTCTGTCAAGAGAAATAAAGTTGAAAAAAAGACTAAGCTTGCAAAGACAATCGTTTGCGAGAATTTTGAGGTCTGCTGAAACACATTTTGACAACCCGTAAATTACATGTATATCAAACAAAAGGTGCTGATGCAATCAGAATACAAAAAGATGAAAAGGCTGCCTGAGGAAGAAAAAATGTCTTTCAAAAACAGAAAGAGCTCAAAGTGGGCTCAGAAGCCACTTGAGGAACTCCGTTAGAGAGGCCTTCAGAGCTGCAGAGAGAAGCTAGGTGGAGCTTCTGGAGGCTGCCTGCTGAGCGCATGCACATGTCAGCGAGGAAAGGGTGAAACTGCTTGGGCAGAGCCAAAGCCTGGGTGCCGGGTGCTGGGAGCTCCAAGACCTGGGCCAGCCTCCCTGGCTAAGGGACCTACGGCCACACTAGCATGGGGCGAGGGGGCTTCCACTTTCCAGAGCTGCCCCCACATCTCTCCCCTGGATGCTGTCCTGGCCCCCACCAGGCTTCTGTCTGTTTGTTGGTCTCATCCTGGCTCAGCTGTCCTGTTTTTTCCTGCCTTCACTCAGCCCACAGAGACTACCCAGACCTTGGCCTAGATGGTATGCTGGATGCCCGAGTCAAGCCTCTCTCTCACGCTGAAAATACAGATAGCGATCACATACAAGTATTTACGTGATAAAGGGCTAGTTGTCAATTTTTAAAGCAGATGATATGAATCCTTTTTATTTCCTCAAAGCAAATGTACTAAAATGTTTACTAGTACACTTAGCTATCAACAGGTTTTTACCTGTGAATAAGTGTTCCCTGAGCCGAAACCAGGTTGGCTCAATGGATAGAGCATCAGCCTGTGGACTAAAAGGTCCCAGGTTTGATTCCGGTCAAGAGCATGTACCTTGGTTGCGGGCACATCCCCAGTAGTGGGTGTGCAAGAGGCAGCTGATCAATGATTCTTTCTCATTGATGTTTCTAACTCTCTATCCCTCTCTCTTCCTCTGTAAAAAATCAATAAAAATATTTTTTTTTAAAGTGTTCTCTGAGAAGGCAAACCACAAGTTCCCATTGGGTGTAAGGCTTCTGTGGCTGCTGGGCTTCATGTCAGAGGACAAGTGAAGCTAGGGATTCCTCCCTGACTCGATATAAAATAGCCAGGGTGAGGTCTAATGTCAGATACACTGCGTGTGAAGGATGTCTTCTTCAGTACTTTCCATAACACTTGAGGGTTGTTAGTATTTGGCCATAAAGCTCGATTCGCTGAGGCTTTGGAATGCCTGTTCCTTTTCGCCATCCGCCTGTGTCGGTCAAACTAGGCACCAGGCGGGTGTTGTCACTTTGCGACCCTCCTTTCAAAGGCTGCAAACTTCACTGCCTGTAGGTCCGATTCAGGGAATTAGTTGCTTTTCTGTTTATACATAGGACCTGCAAAGGACACAGTACAACAGGCTCCGTAGTTGGGATTTATTGTGTGCTAACCTCCTTACTCAATCGTTTGGTTGCATATATTGAGACTCCAGGGTGCTAGAGCAAAACCCTGAAACCACCACCTGTGGCACTTCTGAGCCTTTTTTTTTTTAATGTATTTATTATTTTTTAATATATATTTTGTATTGTTGACAATATTACAGATGTCCCCCATCTCCCCTCCTTTGCTCCACTCCACCCAGCCCCCCCCCCCCCCCCCCCACAGCTTTCTCTACACTTCTGTCTCTGGGCTATGCATGTATTCATATAAATTCACATAATCTCTTCCCATTTCCCTTCCTTCCCCTCTGAGATCTGTGAGTCTACATCAAACTAAAAAGCTTCTACACAGCAAAAGAAATCGTCAACAAAATGAGAAGGGAGCCGAGACCGGTTTGGCTCAGTGGATAAAGTGTTGGCCTGCGGACTGAAAGGTCCCAGGTTTGATTCCGGTCAAGGGCATGTACCTTGGTTGCTGGCACATCCCCAGTGGCGGGTGGTGCAAGAGGCAGCTGATCGATGATTCTCTCTCATCGATGTTTCTAACTCTCTATCCCTCTCTCTTCCTCTCTGTAAAAAAATCAATAAAATATATATTTTTTTAAAAAATGAGAAGGGAACCCACTGTGTAGAAGAACATGTTCACCAATGACACATCTAACAAAGGGTTAAATTCAAAGTCTATAAACAACTCAACAAAAGGAAGACAAACAATCCAATTATAAAATGGTTAAGGACCTGAATAGACTCTTCTCCAAAGAGGGCATACTGATGGCTAAGTGACATGAAAAAATGCACAACCTCACTAATCATCAGAGAGAGACAAATCAAAATGGCAATGAGGTTATCACCTCACACCTGCCAGAATGGCTACCACTAATACATCAACAAACAAATGCTGGCAAGGGTGTGACGAAAAAAGGAACCCTACCAGTAAGTGCATGGCCTGTATTAATGCAGACTGGCGCAGCCACAATGCAAAACGGTATGGAGTTGCCTCAAATTAAAATTGGAACTGCCATTTGACCCAGAGATCCCACTCCTGAGCCTTCTGACTCAGGGACTCTCAGGAGAATACAGGCCCATTTTTTCCCTCCCTTCCCACTACTACTCTTGTTAGCAGGCAAAGATTCTGGATCCCCTGTATGCTTTCTACATCTCAAACACACACCCAACAGCAACTTTGATTTGAGAGCTACAGACCGCTGAGACTTGGACTCTTGTTTAGCTACTGTAGAAGTTCTCTGTTAACTATTCTTGATGAGAAATTGAGCAGTTCTCAAAGTAATTTGGATTATTTGGCAATTGTCTTAAACATTCTCCCAAAATACCTTTCTTCGTACATTTCTGTGGCCATCTGTCATGATCACATTTCTCTCCCCACCCACCCTCTACACGCAGAATAATCCAAGTCCACAGAACTAAGGTTTTACTGAAAATATTTCTTTAATCTATTCCCTTTCAACCCTACTTCCTCTCCCCTTCCTCTCACTCCAGTGTGTATGATGTGGGTTTTTTATTTGCATATGTTCCTATAAAACATTAGTGGGGCTTTTTGTGACTGTATTTTTTGTGTTTTCAATTATGATAAATATAATATATACTCATAGTTTTTAAAAGGGCACAGGGGATGTACATTCCTTGGAGAATCCCAAGTTGCCCTCCCTGACAACATGCAAGTCTCCCAGTCCCACCCCCAAATAGAACTATTATGATTGTATTTTCTCATGTATCAGCTACATAAACATATAAGTTTTATTTATTTTTTTTCAATTACAGTTGACATAGATTATTATATGCTATTATAGTGACATACACTATTTCAGGTGTACAACATAGTGATTAGACATTTATAAATTTACGAAATGATCACCCTGAAAATTCTACTACCCATCTAACACTATGCATAGTTATTACAACACTAGAGGCCTGGCACACTAAATCCATGCGCAGGTACAGTCCCCAGGCCTGGCCTGCGATCAGGGCCATCTTCCCTGGTTGCCTACAGCTGGCCCTGCCCATTGCTGCCACCTACCTCGGTCCTTGTTTGTTACTGGGTGATCAGAGCCTGACAGCCTGGTGATGGGCCCAATAGGTTCACTGTTCCCACCGGCTTTTGCTGGCCCCACCTTTGCCACAAGTTGCCCTCTAGGTGTGGGTGATTGGTGGGTTAGGGACCTCACCCTGGTGCAACCTGCAACTCTCACCCCCCATTTTCCATCAGGCAGTCAGAGCCTGCTGGCCAGGGAAAGGGACCGAGAGGTGGTCAGTGCCCTCATAGTAACCGGTCGAGCGGTCGTCTGGTCGTTCCACCCTTAGGGTCAATATGCATATTACCCTTTTATTACATAGGATTTTGACTATATTCTCTATGCTGTACTTACATCCCCATGACTGTTTTCAAAACTGGCAGTTTATATAGCTTAATTCCTTAAATAGGTAGATACTTTAGTATATTCCATATACAGTCTACATTATATTATACATATGGGTCCTGCTCAGCATTAACCTTTTCCTTTCATTTGTACTTGGATGTAATTATAGATTCATACATGATTGCAAAAAATGTTCCGGAAGGTTCCATGTACCTCTCACCCAGTTTCCCCAATGGTACCATCTTATGTAACTATAGTTCAATATCAAAACCAGGAAATTGACATTGATACAACCCACAGATCTTATTTGGGCTTCAGTTTTACGTGGGTGTTGGTGTGGGTGTGGGTGTGGTCGCGCACGCACATAATTCTTCATGAATGTCTTTTTTAAATGCAAAATTGACTCTGTGCTATACATGCTCTTAGATTTCTGCCCTCTCTGTTTATGGGACTCACCCATACACCTGTGGGCAGAGCTGGTTTGTTGTTTCTAGTTCCTGAGGAGAATCCCATAGTGTCCATCTTCCACCTGCGATGTACCTGTTTCCCAGCAGAGGACACTTAGCCAGCTTCTTGCTTCCTACCTCCGTACACGATACTGCAGTCAGTATCCTCACCCTGGCCCCCCTGTGGATTTGTATCTCTCAGACTCAGGAGTTAGGCTGCTGGGCCATTTGTCTGCTTGGCTAGAGGAATGCTTGCATACGTCCACATGCCAACAGTTATGCATAGCATAACTCTGTTTATGGGTCCCCATATTGTGTGATTCCTGGGTCCCTATATAGTGTAATGGTGTAAGACATAATCCTGGGGTTTAAGATCTAGAGCCTGAAATATCATAGAAAACTTTAGGTTGGACCATGGGAGAAAACTTTGAAAAAACAAAAGAACTCCTCTCTTATGATAAAGAATTTATAGGGGAGACTGAGGGAAGGTCAATGGGAGGGGGGGGCGGGAGGATGAGAAGGAGACATATGTACTACTCTTTGTAATACTTTAAGCAATAATTTAAAAAAATAGCAAAGGATAAAAAAATAAAACGAATTATATTGATGCTACAGATAATGCTATAAGATCTTACCATTTCAGATCTTTTATTCTCATTCTGTTTTCTTTTCCCGTCTCCCCAAGTAGCATTCTGATTAATGGACAGCTTTTATTTACTTACTTGTTTATTTTTCAAGAGGAAGGCTTTTATTGAATACCCAAGAGCCTACATATCTAAAGTTTTGAGGATATTATTCTATTTTAAGCCAAGAAATAGTTCTAAAAGACCAAAAAAAAAGGGGGGGGGGGGGAATTTGGCAAAATATCCTGTCTTGTTTCTACTGTATTAATCAGTGTAACTGAGACTTAGACAGCTGAGATCTTCCATCCAAGTTTCCACGTGCTGTGGGAACCCACACCAGCCAAGACCTTTAGCTGGCACTGCTACAGTAGCTGCTTCCTGAGAGGGAAGTTTAAGTGAATTGTCACTAGACAGGCTGGAGTTCACAGGCTCTTGTGAAATAGACTGATTTGTATAAAAATATATTGCTGTCCGGCCACTGTGGCTCAGCAGTTAAGCATTGACCTATGAACCAGAAGGTCACAATTCAATTCCCTGTCAGGGTACATGCCCAAGTTGCAGCTTGGTCCCCAGTGGGGGGCATGAGGGGACAGCAGTTCAATGACTCTCATCATTGATGGTTCTATCTCTCCCTCCCCCTTCCTCTCCAAAATCAATAGAAACATATTTAAAAAAAAAAATATATATATATATATATATATATATATATATATATATATATATATGTAGGTAAGTAGGTAATAGAGTGCTATTCTCTGACCTCAGTTCTATGAAAGATACTTTTGTGATTGTTTGTCCTATGCATATTTAAAACACCCAGTTTTCAAAACATTTGCATTCACTGAGATCCTACTTATGGGCAGAGTCTTTACCTACCTCGTAGGCTTCAGCAGGTCAGCTTGTTTGTTCATCTGAGCTCTCTTAGTGAGGTGGTGCTATTGTCTAATAGTCGGCAAACTCATTAATCAACTGAGCCAAATATCAACAGTACAACGATTGAAATTTCTTTTGAGAGCCAAATACTTTAAACTTAAACTTCTTCTAACACCACTTCTTCAAAATAGACTCACCCAAGCCATGGTATTTTGTGGAAGAGCCACACTCAAGGGGCCAGAGAGTCACATGTGGCTCACAAGCTGCAGTTTGCCGACCATAACTTAGACTCTAAGTTATAAAGTAGATAAACCTTTCATATCTTTTATGGGGTCTATAAAGTTCTGTTGACTGATCTCATAGAGCCAGTCCATGGAACAGTATTTTTTAATTTAACAAATTTATTTCCCATATCAATTTAACAGCACCTTTGTTCCTTGGTTTCTATTGAGTGGTTCATTTAAACTTCAGTAAAACTGTAGCCTTGATTTGATTTGTTAACATGTGAAATTATAAGCTGAAGATAGAATCCTACAAGAATTTCAAGAATACTAAATTTACTATGAGATGAGTTAATAGATCAGCAATCAGTAGCTGGAATGAGAAACAACAAAGCTATTCAGAATGGTAAATGGAAAAATAATATTAATAGGTGGCTAAAAGTCCAGTTTATATACTTCATTCCTATATGATATGGGGCAGGGAGTCATTCCTTTGCAAAGGTGAGAACTTAGCTGATCTGGGAATGAAAAATAACTCAGTGCTGTGACGGCTGCCACGCCGTGGGCTGTGAGTGCTCGCTGCTGACAGTGTTATCTCCTGCCCCTTCTCCGACTTCCCAGACACCCTTGCACTTGGCCGTGATCACCAAGCAGGAGGCCGTGGTGGAGGACTTGCTGAGGGCTGGGGCCGACCTGAGCCTTCTGGACCGCTTGGGGAACTCTGTTTTGCACCTTGCTGCCAAGGAAGGACAGGATAGGATTCTCGGGATTTTACTCAAGCACCAGAAGGCAGTTCCTCTGATCAACCACCCCAACGGGGAAGGTAAGAGAAAACACATAGCATGGTATGACGGCCGCTATCTGCATTCTAAATGGTCAGTGTTTGATAAATACAGGCTTTTGTTTTATTTGCACCAAAGTGCTTTTAACCTTAGTCACCCGGAGTTATCATCTCTGGGAGGACTTCTGTTGCTCACCAGAGCTGATTCCTTCAGAGATGACTTGGGAGAGCTAGTCAGGAGAAGGAATGAGCAGAAGCCCGGCAATACTGGGCGTGAACTGGAGAAAGCATCCTTTCCTGCGAGAAGGTTGATTTGCCCACGGTGTCTCCTGAGAACATAGAGGGAGACTGTGGGTTTCCATGCACAACCGCTGACTTGCAGCGCCTGGAAAAACCGGCTGGAACAGAGGCTCCCTCAGCACCAGACGGGCTGCAACCCACCAGCCCTCCCCGCTGTGGGTCAGTCTTGTCTCTCCCTTCAGCTGCACAGAGGGCTGTCTTGGGACCGCCTTCCCGCCCCATGACAGTCCCTGTGCTTGGGCCGCAGGTCTCAATGCCATCCACGTGGCCGTGATGAGCAACAGCATGGCATGCCTGCTGCTGCTGGTGGCCGCCGGGGCGGATGTCAACGCGCAGGAGCAGAAGTCGGGCCGCACGGCACTGCACCTGGCCGTGGAGCACGACAACATCTCCTTGGCCGGCTGTCTGCTTCTGGAGGTAAGGGATGCCCGGGTTTGCCTTCGCATTGAATCCCAAGGGTGTTTTAGGAAAATCTTTTCCTTTTTTTTAGTTTCTTCATTGATTAAGGCATCACATATTTGTCCTCATCCCCCCCATTCCCATCCCAAACCCCTCCCCCAACCCCCCTGTTGTCCTTGACCACTGGTTAGGTTCAGCCTTTCTCCCTACATTCCACTCTTTTCTTTTTTTAAAAAAATATATTTTATTGATGTTTTACAGAGAGGAAGAAAGAGAGGGGGGATAGAGAGTTAGAAACGCTGATGAGAGAGAATCATCCATCAGCTCCCTCTTGCACACCCCCTACTGAGGATGTGCCCGCAACCAAAGTACATGCCCTTAACTGGAATCGAACTTGGGATCCTTCAGTCCACAGGCCAAAGCTCTATCCACTGAGCCAAACCAGTTTTGGCCCTACATTCCACTCCTGTTTCATGTCTACGCAAGGCTTCAGAGTCACAGCCTGAGACATTCCCATGGGCCCTGCCTGGGAGCTCTCACTGGGGGTTATTTCAGGGGCAGAGCCTGCCCCACAGGGCACCTGTTCTAGGAATACAACTCAAGGAGCCCTGAGGCGGGGGTCAGGGGGGCGAGCGCACCTCCACCTCACCGTGTTCTGTGTGGGCCGGGTCGCAGGGCGATGCCGATGTGGACAGCACCACCTACGACGGGACGACTCCCCTGCACATCGCGGCCGGGAGAGGCTCCACCCGGATGGCGGCTCTTCTCAAAGCAGCAGGTAAGGCCGCCGGCAGTCCGCTGTGGAAAAGGGTATCGGCGATGCAAACCCAGCTGCAGCCCAGCAGCCCTGCCACCCCCTGTAAGCCACAGACCTGCTGACGGCCACAAAGCGCTGTTCGCACTAGCAATCCTGGACTTCGTCCTGAGCGTCGTGTCAGTTCTTACTCCCTAATGCACCCGTTTGTCGTGGGTTTGGGTTGTTCAGTGGATCTGTTCATGACAACAGATCTTAAGCACCAATTTAATCCCTTCCAGAACTCTGAGCAGTACAGCATCATCACATCAGGAGTCCCCAGAAGGAGAAACGTATTGCTATAAGAAATAATTCAAAGATTTCCTTTTGCAAGAAAGGGCTCTTAGGAGTTGAAGTAAGAGGAAAAAACAAACAGGACTATCGTGTATATTGAGTACTATTGTGTGTGAGGCACTAAAAATTATAGCATTGATTGACCTAGCTCTGTAGGCATTGCACATGCACTGTCTCATTTCACCTTACTTAATCCACAATAACGCCTGGAGACAAATCCCATCAGTATCATTCCCATTTTATAGCAGAGAAAACAGACTAGAGAAGCTTTTTCACCTCAGTCTCAGGGTTCCAGTAACAGTCGAGCTATGACTCATGCCTTGTCAGTCTGAACTTACAAACGTTTTTCTCCCTACTGTGTTTCTCTCCCCTGCCGTCTCAAGGATCTGCAGGTGTTACTCCAGTTAATCCTCTACTCCTGTGAAGTATGGAAAAATAAATCCTGCTCATTCTTGAATCTCTAGTATTATACTTTGAATATTTAGAATCTCCAAGTCTATTTAATGAAATTGGTATTTCATATCTGCCCAGATAGTTCAGATTTACTTGAGAGGTTATTAAAATTTTTTAGAAAGTAAATGCTTTATTAATTCAAGAAAACAGAGCAGGTTAAACACCTTCTTAAAAAGTTGAGTCTAGAAAGATGAAGGAACTTCTTTGGGGCACCACATTTTTCTGACAAGTAAAATCATATCCCACATAAATGTGCTGGCTTCAGCAGCAAGCATCCCGGCAGCCTTTTCTGTTCTTCTTTGTCTGCTTCAACTTTCTCTTGAATAAGCTTCTAGTTTGGTAAGTCAGTGGTTGCTTTTAAGAAATGCCTTCAGGCAAGAAGCTATAACCCTTTCAAAAATGCTTTGTCTTGAATGCTCAGTATCCCAGGGGAGGAGTGGCCAGTAGCAGTGTCTTTGGTAGATAAATGAGGGAACTCGGATGAAAAACATGATCCTGGACCTGGAGAGTATTATGCTAAGTGAAAGAAGTCAGTCAGAGAATGACAGGTATCACATGACCTCACTCATATATGGAGTCTAAGTGACAAAATAAACTGGTGAACAGAGTGGATCCGAGATATGGAAGCATGGAATAGAGTGTGAACTCTCAGAGGGAAGGAATGTGTGTGTGGGGGGAGGGGGGGAAGTAATTAACCAAGAACTTTGTATGCATATATGCATGGCCCATGGCCACCATAGGCAGTGAGGGCCTGGGGCTGATGGGAGGGTGGGAGGGGTTCTAGAGGGAAAAGGGGGACATACTTTCAACAATGAAAAATTATTTTTAAAAAAGAAAAACTTAGTCTTGGGCTCAAAGTCATGAAGAAGGTCACTTAAGGAATCGACATAGCTCAGCTCCTCTGGTCTTTGGTCCTGTCATTGTTCATCTGAATTTCTCCATTATTTTCATTGTCAGATGGCACTGCCTCGTACATCAGGCTAGGACTGGGATAATGAAATAATAAATAGCATCAAGGTTCTCCTTAGACTCTCATGAGACACTCCCTATTATTTTTTTAATCTTTATTGAAAGTATTTACAGATGTCCCCTTTTTCCCCATGGATCTATTCTAGCCCTCACCCCCCCACCCCACCCCCCCTCAGGCCTTGACCACACTATTGTCAGTGTTCATGGATTATGCATATAGGCATACATTTCTTTGGTTAATCACTTCACACACACACACACACACACAAACACACACACACACACACAGGCCTTCCCTCTGAGATTCAACAGTCTGTTCTGTGCTTCTAGGTCTCTGGATGGAGCACTCCCTATTATTACAGTTAGCACAAGTCACATGTTCTCCCAGCAAGATAAAAACAAGTTCCTCTTCCCATAAGGGTGTGCTTCACTTACTGCTGCCCTGAGACATTCAGCTAAACTCCCCTTAAAAGAGTTGCTAAGACTTTGAAAAATAACTTGAGCTCTAATCTTGGAGTTACTCTAGGTGTTCCTTGCTGTGGGCTAAGAATCAGACTAGATTTTTCTAAGATCAGCCTAAATTCTTCAGTCACTATCCATCCTAGCAGAGGTGTTTTCTGGTGTTTTTGTTCAGTGATCAGGGCCCTGGCATGCTGTACCCAAGAATAAAACTGAACATGTTGTCACTAGACAGCAAGCATCTTTGTTCTTTTGAGCAACTAGGGGAGGAAGTTGAGACATGCACATAGTTGTAAACTTTAGGACTCTCATCCTGAGGGTGTGCCCTAACACCTGTAAACTGCTGTTGTTGGTCCCTAAATTAAAGATGCATCATTCAGTCTATCCTATGGAGTTAAGTGTGAGAGTCAGAGTATTCCAAGTCTTTTGTTTTGAAAGTGTCCAAGGATGTGTAGGGTATCATCAGATACCTTTACAATCAAAATAAATTAGAAATTAAGAGACAGTCTCTGGATATTTCAGTAGAAATGTTTTACATGTTTACTAGAGGCCTGGTACATGAAATTTGTGCAGTAGAAAGAGAGGGATCCCTCAGCCTGGCCTATGCCCTCTCGCAGTCCGGGACCCCTCAGGGGATGATGTCTGCCTGCTGGCTTGTGGCTGGATAGCCTTCTGCTGCTGCACAGCCTGCTGCTTGAGCTTCAGCAGCAGCTGCAAGTGTACAGGGTGAGCCACCATGGTCTGTCCAGCAAACACCATCGAGTGGCTGAGTCAAACGAGGAGCAGGCTCACCCTGAGTTCCCTGCACTTTCCTGAGTCACTGAGTTGTTTAGACTGACTGCCTTCTACAGAGAACATTACTGAGTTTGGGCCTAAGCCAGCAGTTGGACGTCCCCCAAGGAATGTAGCAGTGCACCAAGCAGCAGGCAGCCAGGGAGGAGCCTGAATTGGGCCAGGTGCCGCACCGCTCGCACCCATCCCAGCGTGCTGCATGTGCTGCCGCTGCTCAGTAGTGCCATCGCAGCATCAGGAGAGGCTCCCAACACTGGCAGCTGTGCTCACCAGCCATGACCCCAGCCACTGGCTGAGCAGCGCTCCCACTGTGGGAACTTACTGAACACCAGGGGGGCAGTTTCTGCAATGAGCGTCTGCCACCTGGTGGCCAATGTGCACCATAATGGTAGCTTAGGCTTTTATACACACACACACACACACACACACACACACACACACACACACGGCCCGATGCATGAAATTTATGCATAGGGAGGGGGTGTCCCTCAGCCCAGCTTGCACCCTTTCCAGTCTGGGACCCCTCAAGGGATATCTGACTGCCCATTTAGGCCTGTTCCCAATAGGATATGGCCTGGAAACCACCATAGGCCCCTTGCCCAAGGCCACTCCCCCCAGTGACCCAAGCAGAGGCTCTGGTATCTGGGATTTATTTATCTTCTATAATTGAAACTTTGTAGCTTAGAGCAGAGGCCAGAGTGGGCCAGGGCAGATGGAAAGCTTGGCTTCCTCCATTGCCAGGGGCAACCCAAGCCTCCTGTTCTCTCCAGCTCTGTGGCCTCTACCATATTTGTTGGGTTAATTTACATATTTTCTCCTGATTGGCTGGTAGGCATAGCAGAGGTACAGTCAATTTGCATGTTTCTCTTTTATTAGATAGGAATAAACTAGTAGCCCAATTTTCCGGGGGGGGGGGGGGAGGCGGGGGGGCGGGCAGGCAGACTCAGCCTGGCCTGCACCCTCTTGAATCCAGGACCCCTGCAGAATTGGGACTAAACCAGCAGTCCCCTTGCAATCCAGAACTGTTGGCTCCTAACCACTCATCTGCATGCCAGCCTGATCCCCCTAACTGCCCTCCCCTGCCAGCTTGATTACCCCTAACTGCCTCTGCCTTGGCCCCGCCACCATGGCTGTGTCCAGAAGGACATCTGGAAGGTCATCCAGACGATATTCGGTCTTATTAGCATATTGCCCTTTTATTAGTATGGATAAGTAATGTTTATATATGTATATAATCTGACCCCTGCAGGCAGTTGGCATTGAAGAGGTCTGGGTTTGCCTAATGCTGAGTAACTTGACTTTTCAGGAGCAGATCCCCTACTGGAGAACTTTGAGCCTCTCTATGACCTGGATGACTCGTGGGAAAGGGATGGAGATGATGAAGGGGTTGTGCCTGGAACCACACCCCTCGATATGGCCACCAACTGGCAGGTGAGTGTAGCCCCAGTGTTTATGGCAGCTCCGGGGAGGGTTGGGGGAGGCAGAGGGAGCTGAAGGTTCAGGAATGTAAGAACAGAGGGTCTGCCTGGGTCTTTATTCTCCAAAGCCCTTGCCTTTTACTTTTTAAGAAAGTCTCCTTATCAAGAGCTGGTTTTGTTGTTTGGAGATCTGTATGCCCCCAACAACAATCTGTGTGCTTATCTTGAAAAGCTTATCCATGAGAGATCTAGGTCAGCAGAGTTCTGAGTGTGAAGTGTATGCCTAATCTGATCCGAGTTAAGTTGTTAGAGAGGTTAGACCAGAGAAAACACATAATTCACATTGGGAGGTACCCATTCTGAACCCACACCAGGATTACCTCCGTCTTCATTTCTGAAGAAAGAATAAATGCTACGGTTTGCTTGAACTTTGGTAAGTGATTTCTCCAACACAGAAGGAAACTGGGGAGTCTTCTGAGGAGGTCAATAATATGAACAGAGTAAACAGACTTAAAGCCTTCCTCAGAGTGCCACTCATCTGAGACCTGACAGTGAGAAGCAGGTACGAGGTCCTCCTGGCCCGGTGAGACGAGCCGGAGGGAGGAGGTGGGCAGCACACAGATCTCCAACACAAGGAAATGGACTTCCTCAGGCCAGGCGCTGCTCCACACCCAGAAACGGCTCCTGCGGTCCCCGTGGATTGGGCCGGTGCCCCGGCAGAGACCACACGGTTCTCCTTTTACATCGAAGCCTGGCTTTCCCAAAAGCCTCGCCACAGAATGCAGAAAGATAACCCAGCTCAGGGACCCAAGCCTTGCTTCCCCAGGGCCGCCAGCAGCCACGTGACTGCAGAGGGCACAGAAAGGCTCCGTCGCTGTGGGATTTCTTTTAGTTTTAACTTAAGACTTTTCTGGCCCCTCAGTTAGAATGTAGAGGCTAGAAGGCTACTACCAGGCCTGATGAGCATTTCTGTACCTCTGCGTCAGCAAGTCTATAAAACTACTTCTCGCAAGCCTTTTCCTAGGGAGGGGGTCAGCGAGGGGCCACAGCTGCACAGCCCTGAGGAAGGGCACACCTCCCCTGCCCCAGCTCTAGAGGAGACCTCACTCACCAGGGACTGACCAAGACATGGCTGGCGTGGCCGCCTGCACTGCCTCAGGCCCTTGCTCCCTCGGAGGCTGGGTTGGGTCCTCCAGCCCCTCTCAGACAGCTCCTATGGAGCAGCCTCCCGGCCCCACAGTCCCAAAGGGCCCGCGTACCCTGGGCCATGGTGCTGACTGCTCTCTCCACTCGTCCATCTTCAGGAACCAGCACCTCCCAAAAAGGACACGCTGAGTTCTTTATTAAAAAAAAAAAAAAAAAAAAAAAAATCCCTTGTGGCCCCTTTAATGTGCAGCTATTCCCTGTGTTTTTCTCCCACCAGGTATTTGACATACTAAATGGGAAACCATATGAGCCCGAGTTTACAGCTGATGATTTACTGGCACAAGGTGAGTCCTCTTCGCCAGCGCTGTCCCCACACCGTGACTTGGAGGGGGCGGGGAGAGCCGGCATTATCCGGATGTTCTGTGAAAGGCACAGTGGTTCGTTATCTCAGAATCAGGAGGTCCTGGAGGTATGAGAGGGAATAGCCAGTGGTAACCTACTAAAGCATGTGCTGCTGGTGCTCGGCGGGGTTCCTGCTGACTCTTGGGAAAGGAGCCTGGTGGCCTCCAGGGGGCGCTGGAGGGTGAGCAGTGTGGCAGCCACCGCGCCCTCCAGAGTGTCCCCATTCAGCCAGGACAGCCCTGTCTCTTCTTCGTTTCCTTCAGGAGACATGAAGCAGCTGAACGAAGATGCGAAGTTGCAGCTCTACCAGTTGCTGGAATTTCCCGATCCAGACAAAAACTGGGCCACTCTGGCGCAGAAATTAGGGCTGGGGATACTCAATAATGCCTTCCGGCTGAGTCCTGCTCCTTCTAAAACTCTCATGGACAATTACGAGGTAACCCATCGCCTGACCTTGCTAACGATGTGCATTTGACTTTGCTCTGTTGACGTCACTACTGGGCACAGCCCCTTCCCTCTCCCTTCATTCTGAGGAAAAGAAAATCCGTCCTTACCCATGTCCTGAGGGTGGCCCCGGCCAAGATCAAAACCCTCTTTCCTGGGAGGCTATTTCCAGGTATTTGGAGATTTTATGCAAAGATGACCCTCAGGGCCTGGGCCAGGTAGCTCAGTGAGTGGCAGCGCCGTCCCAATGCACCAGGGTTGCAGGCTCAGTCCCCATCCGGGCACACACAGGAGACAACCAGTGAATGCATGGATGGACGGAACGACAAACCAACGTTTCTCTCTCTCCCCTGCTCTAACATGGATTTCCTTTTAAAGAAATTTTTTTTGAAAATGCCACCTAGAGCACATGTGTCAAACACAAGGCCCGCGGGCCAAATCCGTCCCACCAGGCCTTGCAATGTGGCCCGCACCGCGCTGTCATCACTGCACTCCGCTGCATTTCCATCACAATGACAGTTTATGACTGTTCAGTAAACCATTCGGCCTGCGATTTAGGCTGGATTTTAGATTTTGGCCCCTTCTCTGATTGAGTTCGACACCCCTAACCTAGAGGGTCAGGATGGTCACAGCACGTTGACGGCCCTAAATAAACACAACAGACCGTAATCAGTAGCCATGCCTTTCCTCCCCTGAGAGCAGGCCTGATCCCGTATCAGGACGTGGGATCTGCTTCCCGTGAGGCGACTCCTAGCAGAGCCGTTACCTGGTGACATTCCCATTTCTAAAGCAAGATCAGAAGGCACGGGGAGAAGTCATTTTCTCTGGAAAGTGGTGTTGATAGCTCTTGTTTCTCAGCGGTTTTCAGGGCCTCAGCTCCCACAGGGATACTGCACACACTTCGCTCTAGGCAGTTTCCCTGCCTCGGCCCACACACATCCCTCCCCCTCCCTCCCCCCCCCCCCTTTACACACACACACACACACACACACAGAGTAAAGCACCTCTCTGTAATTTCCTGAGTGCTTTGAGCTGCAACAGGAAACTTGACTCAGAGACGGTGTTTTCTTAGACGCCCTCTGTGCCGACCTCTCCGGGACCATCTGGCTGTGCTGGTGAGGAAGCAGCTTGGAGAGGGAAGGGTGTAGGGTGGGGTGTGGTGTGGCGTCCACCGCGCCTGGCTGTTCCCCGCCCCGGTTTGCACACAAGAACATGCTCTTCCTTCCTCTCTCCCCTGCAGGTGTCGGGGGGGACAGTAAGAGAGCTGCTGGAGGCCCTGAGGCAGATGGGCTACACTGAGGCCATCGAGGTGATCCAGGCAGCCTCCTGCCCACCTAGCACGGCCGCCCCCGGCCCCGCCAAGACCGCTGCGCAGGCCCACCCCCGGCCTCTCTCGCCCGCCTCCACCAGACAGCAGCTAGGTAAGGAGAGCCAGACGGAACAGGCAGCTGAGACAGTCTCCTGCCTCTCAGGCCGGGGGGTCAGGCCAGGGTGTTCAGTTGCTTGCGACGCAGCCTGTCCTCCCCGCCATTATGTCCGGAATGTACTGTCCCGTGTCTGTCTCCTCCCCGCCCTCCGGGGCTCATGGTTCTCCCTCCTGACACCGCTGCTGCTCGGGTACAAGGCTGTCCCCAGGCATGGTCACAGCTACATGTGAGTTACTTAGGTTCACAACAAATCCTAAAAGCAACCTGTGGGTGGTTAAGGTAAATAGTATTTCTCTCATCTTTTAAACGTAAAAGAGATGGAGAGAGAAATGCAGGGGAGCAGCACTGGCATTACTTCCCCCCTCCCACTCCTCAGCCTCCCCCATGCTCAGGACACAGACCTTGTCTCCCATTGCTCTTAGCTCCGTCTGCCAGCCACATAAAATATGTAATGTGATGGACTCTCTCACAGCCGGACAATCCTGTATGCGCCTTCATTCTCCTACTCTCTCTAAGCACCCATCTCGTGCTTCTTCTTTCCCACCCCAGCATCCCTTCCCCAGCACTCCTGGCTTCTCCCTCCCACTGGATCACCTAGCAGGCATGCTGTGGTCTCCCTCATTTTTCCAAATAAAACAAAAGCACTCCTTGTATCCCACTTCCCCTTTATCTGCAATCCCTCCGCTCTCCACACAGCAGAGCTGCTTGGGAGAACCTCCAGAGGTGTTCTTTCCGCCTTCTCTTCTCCCCTTGACCCTGCCGTCGGACCCATCCCCCCTCCACCGGGTCTGCTCACCTCCCAATGCCCAGCATCTGCGCCTGCTCACCGTCCTTCCTGTCTTCTCCGCTGCTCTCGGCACACGTGCCATGGGCCATCCCACTGCTTCACAGGCTCCCCTCCTGGCTTTCCCACAGCGCACACACCTGGGTGCCTCCTCCCACGCCTCTGAAAACAGCCCCCCAGGGCCCAGCCCTGGGTCCTCCTTACTTGCCCTCACTTACAGGAGGCTTGTTCCCAGTTGAACGGAGCATTGGCCATGTCAGGCAGAAGCACTGCCACGCGCCATGAGTCCCAGACAAAGGCCTAAGCATTCCTGCGAACGCGCCCTGGTCCAAACCACCATTCAGCCAGCCCTCTCGTTTTTTCCTCTCTGCAGCCACCTCCCTCGTCCAGTCCCCTGTCACTGCTGGTCTCCATTCCTGCAGCAGCTCCTGATCAGTTTCCGGTTCCCTTCAGTCCATTCTTCACACAACAGGGAGTTTTAGAAATTAGTGAGAGCCCTGGCCGGTGTGGCTCAGTTGATTGAGCATCGTCCCACGGACCAAAAGGTCACTGGTTGGATTCCCCGTCAGGGGGCACGCAGGAGACAGCTGATCACTGTTTCTCTCTCACATCCGTGTTTTTCTCTCTCCCTCTCCCTTCCTCTCTAAAGTCAATAGAAACATACTTTTAAAACCTTAGTGAGATTGTGGTAATCCCGTTTATACTCTCCAATTCATTCATCCACTCAACAGATCTTCCCTGCGCACATCCTATGTGCTTAGCACTGCTGGAGGCTTTGAGCAGTGCAGGCATGTCCCTTCTGTATCCAATCCCCGTTTTACCCATGGCTGTCCTCTGCCCTCCCACCCCTCTGCCTGCTGCTCCGCTGTCCTTCCGCCCCCTGGCTCACTAGCCCACCAGTCTCTGGGCGGGGGGACCTGCTCTTCCCCTTTTCTGCAAAGAGCCTCCGCTGCCTTGCTCCTTTTGGCCACTCAGTTTTGGCACCAGTGTCACCTTGTCAGGGGGCCCTTCCAGGGGGGTCAGGATGGGAATAGTGTCACCACCAGGAAAACAGCCCACATCTGCTGCCTTAAAACCTGATGTTCCTTCCACACAAAGGAGTGGGTACTAGATGTGAAAAAGCATGAAGCCCTTGATTTGTAGTTATTATTAAAATACTTCACAGCTCCCAACGTATAAGAGAAACCCAATAAAGATTGAATGACTGGGTAAGTCGTTCAGTAACAAGACAATAGTCATGTCACTGCATTAGAGTCTTCATTTTAATATTGGAATTTAATATGTAAAATAGCATTTTGATTCAGGTATATTAGATTTCTGTTCCTTTGATCACTCTCTCTATATAGGAAATAATTCACATTGTTCATTCAAATCCATAAAGACACTTCTCAGCAAGGAGATTCTTACCTAATTGTCCAGTATGGACTCATTTTCATCAAAATCACTTTATTTTTTGCTACAAAAGTTTCTTTGAGCCAGTGTATAAAGCTGAATAGTGTATGAGGTCCAGAAAGGTACTCCTATTTTTAGTTCCTGCTGCTTTCACCAATTTATTTTGCTTAGTTTCAGCAGTTTCCCCTACTTCAGCTATAAAATAGGTAAGACAGTGGTTGGAAAAATACAGCTGGTTTCTAAGAAAGAAAGGGACCCGTTGAGTCCAGAGAATCCAGGAAGGATTCCGATAAACAGGAGACTAGGTTGTAAGAGAGACGTGAAAACATTTGGCTAGTTTTGGTATCTTCACAGTTCTGGTATCATCACAGTTTGGGTATCTTCACAGTGTTTCTATCGCTCTGCGTGCTCTTGGACCCTCTGCCCACCGTGAATGGCTGTGGCAAGCCGTCAGTGTGGGTGGGACATAGTGACCTGTAGAAGCTAATGGGCAAAAACCGCCTGCGTGCCTTTTCGGTTGAAACTCTGAGCTGGGAGGGAAGCAGAGGTCTGACAGGGAAGGCTGGCCTGGTTCTGCCCCCTAGTGACTCCCTGCTGTTCCCCCTCAGACGAGCTGGGAGACGACAGCATCTGTGACAGTGGCGTGGAGACGTCCTTCCGCAAACTCAGCTTCACAGACTCTCTGACCGGCGGCAGCCCGCTGCTCGCGCTGCACAAGATGCCCCACGACTACGGGCAGGAAGGCCCCATCGAAGGCAAGATCTAGCCCACCCGCGGTTTCCACACCCTGCCCAGCGAAGCCCTGCAGTTCATTGGATTTGCCGACAAAAGGAAGAGACAGTGCACCAGCGGGACATGGGCCGGGGCTTGGGTGGCTCTGGACTGAACCCCGGGCCTCCGATAGGAAGCTGGCTGCCTCTTTTGGTTCTTGAGTTTCGGTGCGGCTCCCTGGCAGAGAGCAGCTACAGCCCCGGCCTCGGGCGGGGCTGGTGCCTCTGGGAGGGGGCGCGCCTGTGGGCCTCACCAGCTGCTTTCCTGTCATCGCCACTGCCCCTCTGCTGCACGTCCGCTGTCACTGAAAGGCTAACAGCCCCCACCCGGTATTCTCTCTGGCGGCCCACGGCACAGTCGTGCGTTCAGATTAAGGATTAAGAGAGTTCTTAATATTTTATCCAGGATATCTTAAATGGGGTATTTTGAAATGAGGGTCAGTGTATAATTAAAAAAACAAAAATGCTTCCTGCTTTTTCTAATGTGGTTTATCTCTGTGATTTGAAAAAGAACGTGTACGTGTTGTTATTTAAACATGGTTACAATCAGTGCTGAAAATGGTATCTTCCCCCTTTTTCTGCATTTTGCTATTGTAAATATGTTTTTAGATCAAATACTTTAAAAGAAAAGAATGTTGGATTTATAAATGCTATTTTTTATTTTACTTTTATAATAAAAGGAAAAGCAAACGGATGGCCTTGTCTTATTGGGTCTAGACGGATACTGTTCTTGCCGCCGCAGGAGCATTCCACAGCCTGGCTTTCACATTCCCATTCCCCTGGACCAGCAGTCGGCAAACTGCAGCTCCCGAGCCACATGGGGCTCACAAGCCGCTGTTTACCGCTCTGTTGACTAGTGAGTTTGCTAACCACTGCCCTGGACAGTCAATATTTTGATCTTGAAATAAACGAAAGAAGAGTGTGGTAACTGGCAATGAAAACTGGGTTTGTAAAGTCCTTGCTTGGCTTGTTCCATTTGTATCGCCTCCCCTTCCCCATCTCATTCACGAGTCTCCTCCTCGCGCCCCAGGGTGTTCTCATGCCCTCGTGGTGCACAGAGGATTGGAATTGCAGCATCCAATTGAGGGCCTTGGACAAGGAACCTTGCAGGGGCGCTCTGTGGAACTGCTCTTCGCTCAAAGAGCTGGAAATGAGGAAGCGGAGAAATGAGAAGTGCACGAGGTGCTATGGTGGACACGGGGATGTGCCACGGAGATCCCTCTTTCACGGGGGACTTGTGGGCCCAGCCGTTGGGAGCACCCTTGGCAGACGGCTTCGGCTGTGGAGAGGTCACACAGGTCACACCCAGTTCCATGGCAGCTCCATGTAACACTGATGGGCGTGCTGGATGAAAGCCCATCCCCCCCAGGACACCGGTGAAGGGCTGTTTGACCTCCAGAGCTCCCTCAAGGTGGCTAAGGCGCTATGTGGGTCTGCGTCCCAGCTTAGGGCTTCCCTCTGCCCGGCACTCTTTTTGCCCCTCCTTCCCACGGGTAGAGCACTCGGAGCTAGTGCTGACCAATTGTGCACAGCATGCGAAGTCATTGTTTGTGAAAGCACCCCAGTGAGGTATGCACAGTGACCCTCAATTTGCAGACAAGGAAACTGAGGCTTTCAAGAGTTGGAGGAGGTAATGGCGGAGCTGCTGCTTAGTTTATACCCAGGTCCACTGAGCTCCAGAGCTCATGGGTTGCAGAATTACCTTGGTAGGATTAGAAAGTGGATTAAAATAATTGAGTCCAAAAGTAGATCCCAAAATATATAGGAGTTTAGTATATGATAAAGTAAAAGTTCAAATCAATTAGGAAAAGATGATGAATCAGTAAGTGGACGTTCCAACTCGTAAATTGCTTGGGGGGAAAAAATCTATCTGAACTCCTCCTGTGTTCTTCCTTTCATCCAAACAATTTCCAAGTCTATCAGAAATTAAACCATAGAAATACTAGAAATCATGGACAAATAACCTTGAAACAGAGACGGCCTTTCTAAGCAAGACTATTCAATAGCGTAAAATAGTTGATTTTATAGTGTGTCTCAAATGAATGAATTTTTTTTAATTCTTCTATTTTCTATTACACTGCCATTTCTCCATACGTCCCAATTAATTATTCCAGTTTTTGAGAATTGTGTCTTTAAATTAGAAAAAAAAAAATAGATCTGACTTTAATTCTCCAACAAACCCATGCCTCCCTCCTCCACGGTCCTCTGTGCCAGGTGGTCCTTTCCCCGTGAACCTGGGAGGACCTGGGACAAGAATAGAAGCGATTTCCAAGCCCAGGTCGGAAAATGCAATGCAACTGCTGCCTCGTCCCCCTGAGTCACTCCCTCCTGGAACCTAGTTGCCATGCTCGGAGGGAGCCGTGTGGCCACGTGGCCGTGTCAGCCAACAGCTTCACTGAGGTCACAGCCGGTGCCAAATGCAACCAGCAGATGTGTGAGGCAGGGAAGAAGTAAGATGATTCCAGCCTCCAGCCATTGAGTCACACCTGCCTAGCCTTCAAGCTACCTCAGCTGACCTTGCCCTAGCCCAGCCAGGCTGCTCAGCCCAGCCCGAGCCCTACCCACATGGCAGCTCATGAGCAAATGAAGTAATGACTGATGGTTTAAGCCCTGGGTGCAGCATTGATTGTTAGCAGGTCTCCAACCTGGCAGTTCCCCCACCAGAAGGTCACTTTAAAGAGAAGCTGACCTCAGGAGGAACAACGAAGCAACTCATGCTGAGACTAAAAATAACATCCCCTTTTCAGTAGGAAGCCGCATTTCTCTACAGTTCCAGAAGCTTCCTCTTCCTCCCCCTCCCCCAGATCTCAGTGCCGGCCTGCCTCTGCATGCTGCTCTAAAGAAAAGGCCAGCGATGCCAGCTGTGCCTCTGAGGCCGGAGTCTTTCGTTTTGCACCAGCAGATGGGGATACGTGCCAGAAGGCGCGGGCTCAGGTGGAAAGCTGCAATGGGCTGAACTAACCCTGCCCTGAAAACCCGTCTCTCGGCAGGAAGCCACTTGAAAATAGCTTCCTCAGAGCCTCTATCTCCTCATGAAGTCCCATACTCTGCAGGCCTAACCCAGGCTTTTTCAGGATCGGCAGTCTTTCCTTTTTGGCAGAAGGAAGCCCTGCTGCTGCTCATTCGCCCACCTAAGCGCCCTGCGGGAGTCACAGGTGGATGTTCCCGGCCTCCAGCAGGGGGTGCAGCCCCACAGACCGCCTTCTGCAGCTTAGCTGGAGGGAGGGGAGGAGCCAGGCGGATTTGAGCGTTTATTACAGGCCACCAACTTTGCATGAATGATTCTGATATTCTCAAGACAACCTTATCAGGTACATAGTAAACCCAACGTTACAATAAGGAAACATCATCAAAATAGTAACTAGCCCGGCAGGCGTGTTGATCCTCAACCTATGAACCAGGAAGTCAGGGTTCGATTTCCCGTCAGAGCTCAGGCCTGAGTTGCAGGCCCCATCCCCAGTGCGGGGCATGCAGGAGGCAGCCAATCAATGATTCTCTCTCATCATTGATGTTTCTATCTCTCTCTCTCCCTTTCCCTTCCTCTCTGAACTCAATTATATATATGTATGTATGTATATGTATGTATGTATATGTATATATATGTATATGTATATATAGTAACTAACTCACCCAACATTCAAATTCAAATCTATCTGATTCCACAGCTTATTCTTTAATGTTGCCTGATGTTGGCAGAAAAGATGCTACATTTAAAAGAGAAAGAAAAATCCATACGAATCTGTACAAAGATGATGGACTTACACTCCAACCAAAAGACAAAAAAGAGAGTATTACGAAAAGTATAAGTCACTTACATATTAACATGGCCTGCTTTTCTACCCTAACAACAGGCTATGGATTTTTCAGAGACCAGACACCTGTGGTTTCATCACTTTCTCCTGATTTTGTGCTTTTGGTGGCATTTGTGCTTCCTCAGGTAATAGACTTGGGGAGGCACAGGAGTCAAGAGAAGATGAAAGTAAAATTCTGTTTATTTTCTTAAGGATCACAGAACCTGGAGCTGGAAGGGATTGTAAAGATCACCTACACAACTCACCCCTGTGGCCGTCTTGTTTAAACACCCACAACGGGAAAGCACATCCTCATTCAGCCTCCCCTACAGTCCGCTGCTTCGTTTAAACGCCAGTTCCAGGGACAAGTTCCTGTCCACTGGTTTCCTAGGTCGTCGGTTGGCCTAGGGTTGGGGGAGATACTGGGGAGGGGTTTAAAATTAAAAGAACGTCATTCTTCATTATTATGGATTCCAGTATATCTACAGCAGCCTGCTTCCGTTACCCTGGATAAGGGACCAGTTGCACAAATGGTTGGAGCATCTTAGAATGAGAGGGATAGAGGGGCTGCTTCTCTCATCTATCAACTAGCTTTTCTATATCACTATCTCTTTTCAAAATGATCATTTCCTTGAAATATCACCAACAGCCCTCAAAGAACAAGATTTCTTAAGCATCTGTTACATGTGAGGCACTACAATGGGTGGTCATCAATCATTATTTTATATTACTTAGTCAAAAACCCTGTAAAGTAAGAATTTTGTCTCCATAGTACAGATGAGGAAACACATACAACATTTAACTACAGGATCTACTGACACCAGTGGAGCATGTGCTAATGAGGCACATTTACAGGAAGTAACAGGGCGGCTAGGGTGTCTCTCTTCCACTTCGCCATGAAGGGATCCAGGCTGACCGGCACGCTGCCTCCCACCCTTCGCTCCCAAGGTCTTGCTAGAGGTCACGGTCCCAGTGAGCTGGAAGGACAAAGGAGCATAGAGGAGTACATGTAGAAGTCACTTCCTCTCGCATTGCCCTGGGGGAAAGCTTTAGTCCCAGGCCACACTAAGAGCGGGAGGCTACAGGGGTTACTTTTGTTCTCATTATTTTTTTATAATATATTTCATTGATTTTTTACAGAGAGGAAGGGAGAGGGAGAGAGAGTTAGAAACACTGATGAGAAGCATCAATCAGTTGCCTACTGGGGATGTAACCGCACCAAGGTACATGCTCTTGGTCAGAATCGAACCCTTGGGACCCTTGAGTCCACAGCCTGATGCTCTGTCCACTGAGCCAAACCAGTTAGGGCTTGTTCCCATTATTAGGAGGAGGGTTGATTTTGGTGAACAGGTTCCAGAACAGGTTCTGCACAGATCAACATTCCTTACCTGAATGATGGTGGCTGAGCCTGAAGGTTCTAATTACCGTATTTTTCGGACCATAAGACGCTCCTCCGGACCATAAGACGCACCAGTTTTTTAGAGAAGGGAAATGAAGAAAAAAAGATTCTGAAACAAATAGTGTCCTAAAATATTTTATGTGCATTAAAACCCAACATCACAGTCATAAACACATGTAATCAACCCTGTAAAGTAAACAGCAGCATTTAGAACCATTTTAGAGCCGGGCAAGCACACAGAGACCACACAGAGCCGGGCAAGTAAAAAAAAAAAACTGGGGGGAAAAAAGTGCGTCTTATGGTCCAAAAAATACGGTAGTTCCAACTGGTGTGCAAACACTCACTCACTCTGAAAGTTGTCCGCAATCATGGTAAATGGCCCTCTCCAAGGGCAAGTTCATTTCCCAGGGTTAAGAATGGAAATTACATTGTAAGGACAAAGTCAGTTTCTCATCAGGAAATCCTCAGAGACGACGAAGGGTATCAGTCCAGGTAAATGGGGAA